TTTAAAATACAGCCACTTACCTGTCCCTCGGTCCAGCGGTGTCCTCACCACGGCTGGTTTCACCAGCCGTCTTCTCTCCCTGGTGCCGGCATCTTCAGTGTGGGCATCGGGCTGTGACAGCTTGCGGCTTCACAGGTGCTCACTGAGCATGTGCGAGAAACGCTGAGCTTTGTGAATGGACCTGTAGTTTTCTGGGACTTGTCCCAGAAGACTACAGGGAGGGAGGGGGGAGGGACAACTTGCGCTTCCGATCACCTAAGTGATCGCAGTGGAAGTGGGAGCGGGTACCTGTCAATTTCCCCCCCCCCCCCCCCCCCCCGTTCCACAAAGATGACAATCCTTAATGGGGAGCGGGGGAACAAAGGCTTAAAGCGGAACTTCTCCTTTTGGGTGGAGCTCCGCTTTAAGAAGCAATGCTGAAGCAAATGAATCAGCATGGCAAGCAGGAGGGTTAGCATTTTCAGCAATGGCTCTCCAAGTATTTCCCTCACCAGACTTCCTTTAAAACCCAATTCAATTTTCAGTTTAAATCGGTTATATTCATTCTGGGTGCGTCAAAGCAAAAAGGTGTGTAAAGGCTTAGAAAGCAGCCACAGCCTGAGCAAAAAAAAAAAAACACAAAAAACTGGAAAACCAAGACTTTGCACTCCCTTTGCATGGGGGTAGGGGTCCTTCACTCATGGGGGTAGAGGTCCTTCACACATGGGAGTAGGGGTCCTTCACACATGGGGGTAGGGGTCCGCCGCACATGGGGGGTAGAGGTCCGCCACTCCTGGGGGTAGTGGGTCCGCCACTCCTGGGGGGTAGTGGGTCCTCCACTCATGGGGGTAGTGGGTCCGCCACTCATGGGGGTAGTGGGTCCTCCACTCAAGGGGGTAGTGGGTCCTCCACTCAAGGGGGTAGTGGGTCCTCCACTCATGGGGGTAGTGGGGTCCTCCACTCATGGGGGTAGTGGGTCCTCCACTCATGGGGGTAGTGGGTCCTCCACTCATGGGGGGTAGTGGGTCCTCCACTCATGGGGGTAGTGGGTCCGCCACTCATGGGGGTAGTGGGTCCGCCACTCATGGGGGTAGTGGGTCCTCCACTCATGGGGGTAGTGGGTCCTCCACTCAAGGGGGTAGTGGGTCCTCCACTCAAGGGGGTAGTGGGTCCTCCACTCTGGTAGGATGGGACAAATATTAGAATCTGTGCTTCTAATCGGTAGCAGATCAGCTACTTTTATTGGTGAGGATGGCAATACTTTGTGGCTCCTAGATTGGCCTGACTGATGCCTACATTCTGTAGGTGTTGCTTCAGCTCTGCTTGGTTGCCTAGACCAATCCTGGAGGCTCTGGAGCACCAACGATTATGACCGATTTATAATTGATGTAGAACTCCAGCCACAACAGTTAATGTGCAAACCGTTTAAAGGGACCCTGTGACCTGGGAACTCTGAGCACAAGCAACCTGTAGAAGACAATAACTCATATTGACTTCAGCAAGCAGTGACTCCAATCTTTACTTTCTTCTGGGTGTGTCAAAGAGTGTTCCTCACCCTACTCCCTACTGGGTCCTGTAGGGAAGGAAGGGTGGGTAGGAGGGATCAGAGCAGCACACAGCAAGGGACATGCCATCAGACCCACCCAGGAAGACTGGATTCCAATGCTGACAGTAGCTCTACCTGAGAGGGAATGGGTCACTGCCCGCAGGAAGTCATCAATGAGTCTTCCCCTCTCCCCACCCCACCTTCATCAGTCTTCCCTCTCCACCTCCCCCAGTGAGTCTTCCCTCTCCACCTCCACTCCATGAGTCTTCCCTCTCCACTCCACCCATGAGTCTTCCCCCTCCCCACCTTCATCTGTCTTCCCTCTCCACCTCCACCAATAAGTCTTCCCCCCTCCCCACCTTCATCAGTCTTCCCTGTCCACCTCCACCCATAAGTCTTCCCCTCCCCACCTTCATCAGTCTTCCCTTTCCACCTTCCACCTCCATCAATGAGTCTTCCCCCTTCATCAGTCTTCCCTCTCAACCCCCCCCCCCCCCCAATGAGCCCTCCCCACCTTCATCAGTCTTCCCTCTCCACCTCCATCATTGAGTTTGTCTCCAGTTGGCCGATGTTCCTTCCTTGGACCACTTTTGGTCAGTCCTAACCACTGCAGACCAGGAACATCTCACAACACTTGCAGTTTTGGAGTTGCTCTGACCCAGGCGTCTAGACATTACAATTTGGCCCATGGCAACACCCCTCCAATCCTTACCTTTGTCCATTTTTTTCTGCTTTCAACACATCAACTTCAGGGACAAGATGTTCACTTGCTGCCCAATATGTTCCATCCACTTTCAGGTGCCATTGTAAGGAGATAATCAATGTTATTCACTGTACCCATCAGTGGTCAGAATATTATGTACATAGACTCCAATCAGTCCAGCGCTACCACACACCTACCAGATGCCGACATTGTGGAAACTCTCTCCAATGGGATCACAGACGGCAATAGGAATATAACAGGGGCTTTTAACCCTTCCCAGCATTATTCAAAACAAAATACATTTTGGCCAACATAGGGCCTTATAATGGAAGTTTTAGCTGTTCATGATGTGACCTCCAAGTGTGCATTATATAAATCCTCCAAAGAGGCTGTGAATACTAACCTGAAGTTGGGGGGCGGGGGAGGGGTGACCACACAGAACGATGCTACCTTATATTAGACATTGTTGTCGTGTCTACAATTCTAAGGACTCACAAACGGATGTTACCTGGTGACCCCAGTACAGCAATGTAGGATGGATGTGAAATCTTGCCCCCCCCCCACCTGCATTGTTGCACCATGCCCCTCGCTCTCCCTCATTCCCACTCGCTGCGCTTTGGCCTGCTCCACTCTCCCCATATCATCGCACCTTGCCCCCCTCACTCTCCCCCCCTATCATCGCACCTAACTCCCCCTCTCTCTCTCTTGCTCTCCCTCATTATAGCACCTTGCCCCCCCCCCCCCCCCTTCCCGCTCTCTCTCCCCCTATCATCGCACCTAAATCCCCCCCTCTCGCTCTCCCTCATTATAGCACCTTGCCCCCCCCCGCTCTCTCTTCCTCCCCTCATCATTGTACCTTGTTCCACCCCCCCCCCTGCTCTCTCCCTCCTCATCATTGGTCCTTGCCCCTTCTCCTCCTCATCCTAGCACCTTGCTCTCTCTCACCCTCTCCTTCCTCATAATCCCACTTTGCTCTCTCTCTCCCCCTATCCTCAGTATCCCACCTCCCCTCCCCCTCAACCCACCTTGCACTCTCTCTCTCTCTCTCCCTCATCCTACTTTGCCCCCCACCCCATGCTTGATCCCATTTCACTTACTTCCCCATATGGGAGAAAAATATATTTTTAAAATATTCTTTCCAAATATATTGAGATATATTTGAAATGCTACAATTTTGACCATATTCAATATTTCAATAAATATATATATACACACACTGCATGATGAAATGCGTTTTTTATATATTACAAAATATAGGAAAAATATAGATTTTTTTAAAATATATTCTTCAGTTTTTTTTTAACATATAAAAAAAGCCATTTTAACATCTATTTTTACATATATTTGTAAATGCATTGCAAAAATGTAGATTTGTATTTTTAAAGACATACAGTATATTTGAAATGTATTCTTAAAAATATTTTTCCTATATTTTGTAATAAAAACGTTTTTCAACATGAGATATATATATATATATATATATTTTTTTAATTTTAATTGAAATATATTGAATATGGCCAAAATTTTAGCATTTCAAATACATTGTTTTTCCATGTCACGTGGGTCATCATTATCATCATGCCACCGCCCCCCCCCCATCATCCCATCTTGCCCTCTCTCCCCCCTCATGATCCCACCTCACTTCCTTCCGCTGATCATCCCACCTTGCTTGTTGCACTCCCCCCCCCCCCCCCCCCCCCCCACATTCTACCCTGCGCTCCTCCTCACCACCTTCGTTCCACCCTGCGCTCCTCCTCACCACCTTCGTTCCACCCTGCGCTCCTCCTCACCACCTTCGTTCCACCCTGCGCTCCTCCTCTCACCACCTTCGTTCCACCCTGCGCTCCTCCTCACCACCTTCGTTCCACCCTGCGCTCCTCCTCACCACCTTCGTTCCACCTTGCACTCCTCCTCACCACCTTCATTCCACCCTGCACTCATCACCACCTTCATTCCACCTTGCACGCTTTCCTCTTGTCCCATCTTGCACCCGTTGCCTTATCACACAATCTAAACATTTCAGGATAGTAAACGCCTACTGCAAGCCTGATCATAACTTACAGCGAACGGGAACCCGGCCTTAAAAAATAAAAAAAAAATAAATCATGACTTGTGAAGAACTCTATACATGAAGGAAAGGCTTGTTTGATACATTTACAGAATGTAGCTTTTAAATGAATCCTATATAATTTACGAAGGGTATGTTCATGGGATGGTGTTACAGAGGAACTCCATTGTTACCAGTTTCTATGAGTGGAAGATGGCGGAATGGGCTCCACAGTGACAAGCAGAGATGAACACAGAAGGTGATGCTGCACAAAGAAGGAGTTGTTTCCTGTAGTGTAAGGCAGGGTCCTCATGTCATATACGGGTCACTCCGAGTGACCTGAAAAGTGCTACATTAGCCCCATTCGGGCAAGCCAGGCGTGGGTGCCGGAGGTGGGGCGTCCTGTATATCTTGTAGGAGGATTACGGGTTTAGCAAAGCAATGATTGCATGGCCGATACCCATCCAGCCTTCGGACAGTCATAACCAGGTGTGGTCAGCAGATGCTCCAGAATTACGTCGTCTTAAGGCTGTCATCGAGAGACTCTACAATGTAGTCATTATACCTACTCTGTGGGTTCCCATAGACCAGAAGGAAATCCTCCTCGTAAACGTGGACCAGATTTGCGGTTTCTCATACCCACCGTTTCAGTCTAAGAGGGACCCCCGATGACGGAGTGCACGGGGACCATTGTCCAGAATCTACTGCAAGAAAGACCTCCCAGTCTAAGTTTTATTGAGTGTCCAGAGAGGGTCCAGCATGCTCAGAGGGTCATCGTCAGCCTTGCTTGCCCGGGCCAGGCCACCGTCGTTCTGCGGCTGCAGGAAGCTCTGCTTGTTCATCTTCTGCTTTCCTCGCTGGGAAGAGTCCAGGTTGAAGGCCTCGGGGGTGAGAGAGGCCAGCAGGTTCAGAGAGGACGATGAGGGTGCGGCAGGAGCGTTGCTGGCCTCTGGTCCAGCCGCCACATCTTCAGAGACCGATGCATGATGGTTAATTGCTTCTACGGGGACGTCGGCAGCAGGACCGTTGGAAGTGGGCTGAGGAGGGATTGGAGATGGCGCCGGTTCCGGGTACGTCTGCGTGACGAGATCCGGCTGGGAAGAGCTTGGAGGAAAAACCGTCTGAGAGAACTCGGGTGCTGCTTGTTCACTTATTGCAGGGATTAGAGGCGGCTGATAATGGTTGGTGGCCTCAGGGCTGCCGGAAGACGGCTTAATACTAAGCTTGGCAATGGTAGCTTGGATGGAGCTGATGGGCATATCCCCTCCGAGCACAAGGTCCTGCGGATCCTGCAGAGAGTACAACTGGAAGGGAAATGGAAGGGTTAGCTGGGACCTCTGGGGAAAAAAAAATTACATTTATGATGTAGTCTGCAGCAGGAGCGGACTGACAACTCATGGGGCCCCCGGGCAATAGGGGATCATGGGGCCCCTGTGTCCTTGCCCAAACTGAAAAAAGCCTATGAAAAAGGTACCAGGGGCATCTCATGGGGCCCCCTACTGACCCCGGGCCCTCGGGCAGTGCCAGAGTTCCAAATGGTCATTCCGCCTCTGGTCTGCAGTTGTTTTTCTGAATCCCCCCCCCTTTAATATAAATTTTATTACTTATTAGTTCTGCCCGTAGATTCATTTATTTTCCACTTCCTCTAATAAGGTGACAACAGTGCAGTGAAATCAAAGAGCGTAACTTGGAGTATTAAATGGAGGTTAAGGCCCAAGTGCAGCTTCCGATTTGAAAAAAATCAGCACAAGGGACATAGCGTAGTCAGTAGGATGTGTCCTTTGTGCCGATTCTCCTTTCAGTAGAAATCTTACTTCATCTATGCCTCCTCCAGACTGTAATCTTCCAGTACGGTGGGGGTTAAATCAATTAACAGAGCCCTACTATGCCCGGCCTTTCCATCCACTCCTCCATTCAAAGAAGCCATAGTACAGATTCTGTGAATGGAAGACAGTGTATGAAAGGAGGAGGTGGAGCTATCATTCTCCCATCGCTCCGTACAAAGTCTGTGTTTCATTCATAAAGGCTGTAGTGTTGCTTCTGTAAATGCTGACCAGAAATGGGGGGGAATAGTTCGGCTCTCTTGATGGGAGCCTGTGACAGTCCCTTAGTTGTATTAACCTATTAACCCCCACAGCATCGGAAGATTATGGCAGCAGGTGGGTGGGGGGGCAGGGACGAAGAAGGATTTCTACTAAAAGAAGAAGAATCAGTATAAGGGACATATCTTGTTGACTGCCCCTTGTGCTGATTTCTCTCTTTTTAATTTTAGCTACCCTTAGGCTTTATGTAAAAGGCAAGCAACTGCACAGAAGCTCTTGGCTGTGGGCTGACCAAGTCTTCCATGACTCCAACCTCTCCACTTTAGGACCCATATGGGCTCTCCAGGGCTGACACTGCCCACTGTGTTTCTTCTGGAAGACTATGGAGAATGTCTTCATAGAATTGATTTCCCACCACCTTAACCCCTTCACACCAGTGCCTCCCAGCCCTTTAGGGGGTTTCAAATGCCAGGAGTTGCTGTTGTTCCCAGTTGCTTCCACTTTGTTATAATCCCACTAACAGTTGAGCGTGGAATATTTAGTAGCCAGGAAATGTCACGGATGGACTTATTGCACAGGTGGCCATCTATCACGGGACCACGCTTGGAGTCACTGAGCTCCTGACAGCGACCCATTCTTTCACCAATGTTTGTAGACGTGCGTCGGCGAGCTCCTGCTCCCCTGGCCCCAATCCGCTGCCATCTGGGCAGCAGCGGACCCTAACGGGGGCCCCACGATCCTTCGGTCCCTGCTCATCAGCCAGGTAAGGCCACTGGACCTTTTTCCTGGACCTCCGGGACTTGCGGCCTACCCGGCACCCGAAGCCGCGGCCTCGATTTCTGGCGCGGCCGACCCGGATCGCCGGGCATCAGCCCAGGCCGCCGCTGCTCTGTTCCCCGGTCCCCGCCGATCAGCCAGCCTCCCCAGGGCCCCCCTCACTGGCCCTGGGTCCATCCCGACCACCGGGTACCAGCTCGCCCGGAGCAGCCACGTGCTCGTCAGCTCCGGCGCCCCCGCGCCCGATCCGCTGCCATCCGGGCCCCTGAGCCTGCTGCCGATGTCCCCACCAACACCCTGAAGGGGACACAGACACTCCGTCCCTCCAGCGGAGCTCCGGCGGTCCGAAGCGGCTTGAGGCCTACCACGGCACCCGAAGCCGCGGTGTTTTCCTGCCGGCCGTGGCTGGAATCGCAGCGGGACGCCTCCGCTCCTCCGGGGAAGCTACCACCACCACCAACGGTCCTCCTAACATAGGAGGGATCCACCTCCACCCCGACGCTCCAGGACATCAGGTACTCCACCAGGGGCACCCACTACCCATCAGGGAGCCCCAACCACCATCCCACCGCCAGCCACCAGGGATCCCACCACCCACCGGAAACCCTAACCACCAGGGACCCTTAACCACTATCCCTCCAGGGATCGCTACTAACCCACCAGGGATAGCACGGCCACCATCCCACCAGGGATCCCCTGCCCTCCACCCCACCTGGGACTACCAGCCACCTCCCACTGCGTTTCGGACACTGCTTCGCCATCCCTGACCAGCACCCCCTCACCCACCCCGACCCTTCCTGCACCCCGCTCACCCCAACATGCCGCCCGCGCTCCTCCTCCTCCTGTCCTCCTCTCTCCATCCCTAAAACCGCCTTCCTCTACCCACCCACCCCCGCTAAGCAGCTCTATATCGCCCCCTCACTTCTCCCCTCTCCCCACTATGGCACCCACCACCTCCTCCTGCTACTCCACTTCCCCGCTGACCCACTTGCCACCACTTTCAGACCCAAGCGCTCCTACACCTCCCGTTCCCACGCCACCTTCCTCACCCCCTCCTCTCATATCAGCTGGGGACATCTCCCCAAACCCTGGCCCCTCACCACCTCACACCCCCCCTAGAGCCCCCCCTGCTCACGCCAGCCGACGCGACCCCCCCCAACCTCATACATGTACCCCTCCTCCCCATATCTATCCCCCCTCTCTCGGTTGCACTCCTGAATGCCCGTTCGGTTTGCAATAAGCTTACCGCCATCCATGACCTCTTCATCTCCCGCTCCCTCAACCTCCTAGCATCACCGAAACCTGGGTACAGGCCACTGACTCCACTTCCCCTGCGGCACTCACCCATGGAGGTCTCATCTGGACCCATTCACCAAGACTGAGCGATCGCAGAGGTGGTGGTGTCGGCTTGCTCCTATCACCGCTTAGCACCTTCCAGGTCCTCCCTAACCCACCCTCTCTTTCCTTCCCCTCCTTTGAGGCGCACTGCATCCGACTCTTCTCACCCACCCCCCTAAGGATCGCAGTGATCTACAGGCCTCCCGGATCCATAGCCCGCTTCCTGGATGACTTCGCCGCCTGGCTCCCCTTCTTCCTCTCCTCTGAGCTACCGACCATCATCCTCGGGGACTTCAACATCCCCATCAACGACAACACCCCGGCTACTTCCCAATTCCTCCACCTAACCTCCTCCTTTCGCGCTCACACAGCACACTCAATCCTCCACCCACTTCGGAGGGAACACCCTGGACCTTGTCTTCTCCCACCTCTGTACCCTCAACCAGTTCTCGAACACCCCCCCCTTCCCTCTCTCCGACCACCACCTCCTCACCTTCTCCATCTCCCCTTCCCCCAACTCCCCCCCCTCAAAAACGCCAAACCATCACCAGCCACAACCTCCGCAACCTGAACCCGGCCCCCCTCCACTCTGCCGCCGACTGCCTACACGACAGCATCCTCTCACTGTCATGTCCTGACATAGCCACCACCTTGTACAATGACTCACTGTCAGCTGCCCTAGACTCTCTGGCACCCCTAACCACACGCATCATCAAACCCAGACCGCTTCAACCATGGCAGACCGACAGCACTAAACGCCTCAAACGTCGCAGTCGCGCACTGGAGAGACTGTGGCGCAAAACCAGGTCCCCTCATACTTTCTCCCTCTACAAATCTGCATTTCTTATCTACACCTCCTCCCTCCACGCCGCCAAGCAGGCCTACTTTGTTAACCTAATAAACACCCTCTCCTCCTGCCCCCCCCCCGCCGACTCTTCTCCACCTTCAACTCCCTGCTCTCCCCCCCCCCCCCTCCTCCACTCAGTACCTCTCTCACCGCCCACGAGATTGCCACCCATTTCCACAACAAGATTGACGCTATCCGTAAGGACATCGTCAACTTGCAATCTACCTCCCCACCTAGCCTCCCCACCCCCGTCACCCCTTCATCTCCCCCCTCCTCTGCCCTCACAACCGCACTGCCCCCCCTCCTCTCCCAATGCCCCGCCCACCATAACCCCCCCCGCACTGCACTCCCTCAGCCCTGTCACTACTGAGGAAGTCGCCAAAGTCCTCTCAAAAGCCCGCCTCACTACCTGCCCCCTGGACCCTATCCCCTCTCAACTCCTCCGGTCACCCCCCTCTTCCCTCATCCGCTCCCTCACCCACATCTTCAATCTCTCCCTCTCTACTGGCGTATTCCCCTCCCCCCTAAAGCACGCGCATATCACCCCCATCCTCAAAAAGCCCTCCCTGGATCCCGCGGACCCCAACAACCTCAGACCCATCTCCCTGCTGCCACTCACCTCCAAGCTCCTTGAACGCATAGTCTACGATCGCCTAAGCTCCCACCTTACAGACAATAACCTCCTTGACCCTCTACAGTCCGGCTTCCGTCCCCTACACTCCACTGAAACTGCCCTCCTCAAAATCACTAACGACCTACTAAACGCCAAAGCCAAGGGCGACTACTCTGTCCTCCTTCTCCTGGACCTCTCTGCGGCCTTCGACACAGTTGACCACCCCCTCCTCCTTAATAAACTACTCTCCCTTGGCATCGGAGATACTGCTCTCTCTTGGTTCTCATCCTACCTATCCCGACGCTCCTTCAGTGTCACCTACAATGGTGCCACCTCCCCCTCCCTCCCCCTCTCTGTTGGGGTCCCCCAAGGCTCTGTCCTTGGACCCCTTCTCTTCTCCATCTACACCTCCTCCCTGGGCAAACTCATACAATCTTACGGCTTCAACTATCACCTCTATGCTGACGACACCCAAATCTACCTCTCCACCCCTCACCTCACCCCCACTATCTCCGCCCGCATCACTCACCTCCTAAATGACATCTCAGACTGGATGTCGCTACATTTCCTCAAGCTCAACCTCTCCAAAACCGAGCTCCTCATCTTTCCCCCTGCCAACACCCCCCCCCCCCCCATCCATCCTATCCATCATCACCAACAACTCCACTATCACTCCCGCCCCCCAAGCCAAAGTCCTTGGCGTCATTCTTGACGCGAACCTCTCCCTCCAACCGCATGTCAAATCGCTCACAAACACATGCAGGCTCCATCTTCGCAACATTGCCAAGATACGTACCTTCCTCACCCCAGACACCACCAAACTTCTAGTACACTCCCTCATCATCTCACGCCTTGACTACTGCAACTCCCTCCTCACCGGCCTACCCAAGTGCAGGCTCTCCCCGCTCCAGACCATCCTGAACTCAGCGGCCAGACTCATCCACCTCACCACCCGCTCCACCTCTGCCACCCCCCTCTGCCTCTCCCTCCACTGGCTCCCGATTGCCCAACGCATCAAATTTAAACTCCTAACCCTGACCTACAAAGCCGTTCACAACACTGCCCCTGACTACCTCACCAACCTGATCCCCAAGTACCGCCCTACCCGTACCCTTCGCTCCTCACAGGACCTCCTTCTATCCTGCTCCCTGGTCTCCTCCTCCCATGCACGACTGCAGGACTTCTCCAGGTCCTCCCCCATCCTCTGGAACTCACTGCCCCAATCCATCAGACTGTCGCCTTCCCTCTTCACATTCAGGCGCTCCCTCAAAACCCATCTCTTCAGGGAAGCCTACCCCACCCTCATCTAACGGCCATTCTCCCTCATTCCTCACACCACTTCATCCCCCTCAGCCACTTCCTATTGTTCCACTACCCCCTCCCTCCTAGATTGTAAGCTTGAAAGAGTAGGGCCCTCTTACCCCTCGTACGTTGTTTGTTGTTGTTGTACTGTGCCATGTATTGTCCCCCCTATTGTACAGCGCTGAGCAAACCCTTTGGCGCTATATAAACTCGTAGTAATAATAATAATAATAATAATAATAATAATAATAGAAGCAGTCTGCATGCCTAGGGGCTTGATTGTATACACCTGTGTCCATGGAGGGGATTGGAACACCTGAATCACATGATATGGAGGGCGGGGGGACAATACTTTTGGCAATATAGTGTAGAATATTGGAAAGGTTTTGGTGGGCTTCCTGGTTTTTATGTTAATCGTTCAAATAAAATATTGTTTATTATATTGTCATTAACAAATAATCTTTGATTGTGTTGCTTTGCTTGATGCTTGCCTTCCCCTTCCAGACCCTCTGCAGGTACTTATCTCTAAGTCACTCACCTTCCCTACCAAGACACCTCCAAGCCCCCGCAAGTACTTCTCTAGGCCACTCACCTTCCCTGCCAAGACACCTGCCACCCCCTGCAGGCAGTTATCTGCAAGCCACTCACCTTCCCAACCAAAACACCTACCACCTCCTACAGGTATATCTCTCCAAGCCACTCACCTTCCCGTCCAAGACACATCCAGGCCTCTGCAGGTAATTATCTGCAAGCCACTCACCTTCCCTACCAAGACACCTACAAATACAATGCAGGTACTTCTCTCCAAGCCACTCACCTTCCTGACCAAGACACCTACCACCTCCTACAGGTACTTCTTTCAAAGCCACTCACCTTCCCGTCTAAGACATCTCCAGGCCTCTGCAGGTAATTATCTGCAAGCCGCTCACCTTCACTACCAAGATACCTACAAATATCCTGCAGGTACTTATCTCCAAGTCACTTACCTTCCCCACCAAGACACATACCTCCTTCCCCTGTAAGTACATCTCTCTTAAGCCACTTACCTTTCCTACCAAGACACCTGCCACTCCCTGCAGGTAATTATCTCCAGATACAGGCCTTTCTCATCTAGAAATTCACAATCCCCTACAGGTACTTATATCCAGCCACCCACCTTTCTCAAGCAGAACCCCACAACCCCCTTGCAGGCACTTACCTTCTGAGAGGAAGAATGATGTGGCCTGCTAGAGGAGGGAGTGCAGACCCCATGTCTCTGCAGAACTTGCTCCGCATGCTTCAGAACTGCCTCATAGCAGAACTTCAGATGTATCTGGGAGAAAAAAAAAAAATGGCACACTTGAAATCTCAACATTGTCGTCTTTGTTTGGCTATCATCCGGGGTCACCATCTACTTCCTGGATTGAGAGGTCAGCTCAGATGACATATAAAACCTGGTGTCTGCTTGGTGGTTCGCAAATGTCTGACCTTGTATCACCAGGCATTCATGTTCCCCAGTATCCGATCTGTACATCAGACACTTCACATTAGGATACCGAGGAACCTCCATCCAAATCAGCAGTGCCGTACCTTCTCCTGCAGCATGTGCTTCCTCTGCTGCCTCATCTTCTTCACCAGCTGAGCCAGGTCTGGGATGCCGTTCCCGGCCTCCACTTCCTGCATGGCGGCATACAACAGGCAGAAGGCCCCCGTCCTTCCCACACCAGAGCTAAGGAAGATCAAACAGAAATCAAGATCGGGAGGAAAGAGTCAAATCTGGTGTATCGTGATATATTCCAGGTACGTAGCCGGAAGGAGACCCACTCACCTGCAGTGCACTACAATGGGCATGTGAAGGGGGCGCTGGTGCAAGTAGTGTTTATGAACATCCTGGATGAACCACAATAGGTTTCCTTTACTATCCGGGAGTCCTCTTTAAAAAAAAAATAAAAGAAAAAGATTTTTTCAGAAACATACAGATGAATGATGTTAAAGTGTATCCTACTGGAATGTCTTTTCTTGGGGTCCAGTGAAGAACACAAAGAAGATCATCAACTGTTCATGAGGACTGGATACTGAGCAACCACAAAAAAAGTGTAGTCCAGTCCAGGATAAACCCTCCTCTACCCAGCATGCCTCAGTTTTGCAGCAATGCAGTGTTGGTAGTACGACCATAAAAACAGACCTTTGTTGTCCAATAAAGCATTTTAAGGAGAGTTCAAAAACAAGGAGGAAGATCTGTACTGGGATCTGGTATTTGTAGGGGGGGGGGGTAGGTCTGCACTGGGGTGTGTGAAAGGTTTTGTAATACTCCGTCTACTGACCCATGCAAAGAACATACACCTGACCCTGACCCATGCAAAACATACACCTGACCCTGACCCGTGCAAAACATACACCTGACCCTGACCCGTGCAAAACATACACCTGACCCTGACCCGCGCAAAACATACACCTGACCCACGCAAAACATACACCTGACCCACGCAAAACATACACCTGACCCACGCAAAACATACACCTGACCCACGCAAAACATACACCTGACCCACGCAAAACATACACCTGACCCACGCAAAACATACACCTGACCCTGGTTAGACTCTTACTTGTGCCACAGTAAAGTATTTTTTTTTGAAGAGAAGGACTGTGTCATGTTCCCGTGTATTTAGTAAATAGGTTCATGTTTTAGGCCCCTCCCACTGTCAGAAGAATCATGCTGCAGTGCGACGCCTAAAAAAAAAAAAATAAAACAAGTGTCCCCTGCAGTAGATCCAACGTCAATCATGATGTCCGCCACCGACCCAAAATAAAAAAAAAAAAAGGTTCCGTTCCTGACGATGGCTTCCAGCCCTCTGCCTGAGCTGGCTTGACAGTTCTTAAATATGTGAGGGGCGGGGCCGCCCAGGGACATCACTGGAGTGACCCCGCCCCATGTGACAGCATTGATCCCACATGGGGTGGGGTCACATGCGTGATGTCCCCGGGTGGCCCCGCCCCTTACATATTTAAGGACTGTCAAGCCAGCTCAGAGGCCTGGAAGCCATTGTCGGGGACGGAACTTTTGTTTTTTCTTTTTTCGGGTCGGCAGTGGACATCGTGATTGACATTGGATCTACTGCGGGGGACATTCTTTTAGTTTTTTCTTTTAATAAAGGACTTGTCAAAGACAATGTCCTGTCTTTTTTCACACTACACTTTTTGTGAATGTGTAGGGGTACCATGTAACCCATACTCATTCACATGCGGGGGGCAGGATCTGGGGGCCCCTTGTCAGATTCTGATAAGCCCCATGCCCACAGACCCCCACAACCACCGGCCAGGGTTGCAGGGAAGAGGCCCTTGTCCCCATCAGCATGGGGACACCAAGGCACCCCCCCATGTTGAGGGCATGTGGCCTGTTATGGTTCAGAGGGGGGGGGGGGGGGGGGTTTACGCTCACTCATTCCCCCCCCCCCCTTCCTGACCTGCATGCTTGGATAAGGGTTTGGTATGGATTTTGGGGCACCACGCTATTTTTTTGTACATTTTGGCTTGGGAGTTCCCCTCAAAATCCATACCAGACCCGAAGGGCTTGGTATGGATGGGAGGAGGGGAACCCATGCCGTTTTTTTTTTTTAAATTATTGTGCCAGTTTTTAAATGTAATTATCGCTTTTTTTTTTTTTTCCCTTCACTATAGCTCAGAAATTCAGCTCTCACTTTCCCCCAGCTAAAAGAGTTTTTCTTTAGTTTATTTCCCCAAGTTAAAAGAAACAATGTTTCCTTTTAGTTTCTTAAAAGAAACCAAGTTTCCTTTAACTCTGCAGAAAGTGACAGCTCATTCTCGGAGCTACAGTGAAGAAAAAAAGCTGGCAATTGTATTTAAAAAATCGGCACCGACATACACTTCGTATAAGGAAAAAAATTCAGAAACCAAGGAATTATTATCAATGGAGCTTTTCGTGTGTGTGTGTGTATTTTTTTTCCAAGTATTTCTGCACACATAGCAGTTTGTTTGGAGTACAGGTGAAACTTCAGACTTAGAAATTATATGTTTCTGCAGGTATATAAACCATGTCGGGGACGTACAGCTCCGGCCAGGAGGTGAACTGGAGGTGAATGATGGAACGTTTCAGGCTCTGGTCTTTGTACTGCAGTGAGATGACTCTCTCCACGTGCGTGTCGGCCACCTTATGGCTGGTCAGAGTCAGCGTGACGTGTCCATGAAGAATGGGCTGGCCGCGCTCGGTGGGGAAGTAGCGTACAACTTTTTGCTGTGGAGAGAACAGGATATATTTTATACACCGATCTGAAGAAAGTGACAACAGTAAGTAGAATGAGAAGAGCAAGTGGATCATACTGAGGGCTATCCATGAAGTCTCACAACTATATTTGAACACCCCCCACTATACAGCCTAACTCTGAAGTTTATAAAATTTGTCCTGTCAAAGTGTAGGGTTGAAAAAGTGAAAGAAGATAATTCAAAAATATGCAAAAAGGGTTCGCTGGTGACCGGATCTGATGCGTATTGCACATATCTGTAACCAGAGCTGGCGTGGAGATGCCGGGCCGGAGGCCAGACCTGGCGTGGAGATGCCGGGCCGGAGGCCAGGCCTGGCGTGGAGATGCCGGGCCGGAGGCCAGGCCTGGCGTGGAGATGCCGGGCCGGAGGCCAGGCCTGGCGTGGAGATGCCGGGCCGGAGGCCAGGCCTGGCGTGGAGATGCCGGGCCGGAGGCCAGGCCTGGCGTGGAGATGCCGGGCCGGAGGCCAGGCCTGGCGTGGAGATGCCGGGCCGGAGGCCAGGCCTGGCGTGGAGATGCCGGGCCGGAGGCCAGGCCTGGCGTGGAGATGCCGGGCCGGAGGCCAGACCTGGCGTGGAGATGCCGGGCCGGAGGCCAGACCTGGCGTGGAGATGCCGGGCCGGAGGCCAGACCTGGCGTGGAGATGCCGGGCCGGAGGCCAGACCTGGCGTGGAGATGCCGGGCCGGAGGCCAGACCTGGCGTGGAGATGCCGGGCCGGAGGCCAGACCTGGCGTGGAGATGCCGGGCCGGAGGCCAGACCTGGCGTGGAGATGCCGGGCCGGAGGCCAGACCTGGCGTGGAGATGCCGGGCCGGAGGCCAGACCTGATGTGCAGAAGCTGGGTTGGTGGCCAGACCTGGCGTGGAGATGCTGGGTCAGTGGCCAGACCAGGCTTGCAGAGGTTGGGTCGGTGACCAGACCTGATATGTAGGGATGGCTTGGTGACTAGCTGCACAAATGGTCTGGACACTTACCCAACCCGCACATACCAGGTATGCTCACCAATCCAACCCCTACACACCAGAACATGCAAGTCTGTCAAGGACAATGCTCGGTTCTGTTCCTATATTTATGCAGTGTGGGTTGGTGTCCTGGTGTAAAGATCTCCTGTTACAGACAGTCCCAATGGCGGCCATTTACCTTCAGTAATATGTATATCTAATATACAGTACTAGTTGTATATGTAAGCTGGAATAAATATTGCAACATGTGCATGTTTTCATGTACTGTCTTCTCTGTTCGGAAGATTTCTCCATCTTTTCCTGTGCAGGTGACACATTGTCATATACATGACACATTCCTGCATTAAAAATGGCTGTGTGGATACAGTTTGGCAAAAAAGTATTTAGTCCCCACCAATTGTACAAGTTCTCCCACTTACAAAGATGAGAGAGGCCTGTAATTGGCATCATAGGGAGACCTCAACTATGAGAGACAAAATGAGAAAACAAATCCAGACAATCACATTGGCTGATCTGGAAAGAATTTATTTGCAAATTATGGTGGAAAATAAGTATTTGGTCACCTACAAACAAGCAAGATTTCTGGCTCTCACAGACCTGTACCTTCTTCTTTAAGAGGCTCCTCTGTCCTGCACTCATTACCTGTATCAATGGCACCTGTTTGAGGTTGTGGACAGGTGTCTTTTATACTGATAACAAGTTCAAACAGTCACACTCCAAACTCCACTATGGTGAAGACCTAAGAGCTGTCGAAGGACACCAGAAACAAAATTGTAGACCTGCACCAGGCTGGGAAGACTGAATCTGCAATAGGCAAGCAGCTTGGTGTGAACAAATCAACTGTGGGAGCAATAATTAGAAAATGGAAGACATACAAGACCACTGATAATCTCCCTCCATCTGGGGCTCTACGCAAGATCTCACCCCGTGGGGTCAAAATGATCACAAGAACGGTGAGCAAAAATCCCAGGACCACACGGGGGGACCTAGTGAATGACCTGCAGAGAGCTGGGACCAACGTAACAAAGGCTACCATCAGTAACACACTACGCCACCAGGGACTCAGATCCTGCAGTGCCAGACGTGTCCCCCTGCTTAAGCCAGTACATGTCCGGGGCCCATCTGAAGTTTGCTAGAGAGCATTTGGATGATCCAGAAGAGGATTGGGAGAATGTCATATGGTCAGATGAAACCAAAATAGAACTGTTTGGTAGAAACACAACTCATCATGTTTGGAGGAGAGAGAATGCTGAGTTGCATCCAAAGAACACCATACCTACTGTGAAGCATGGGGGTGGCAACATCATGCTTTGGGGCTGTTTCTCCGCAAAGGGACCAGGACGACTGATCCATGTACAGGACAGAATGAATGGGGCCATGTATCGTGAGATTTTGAGTGCAAACCTCCTTCTATCAGCAAGGGCATTGAAGATGAAACATGGCTGGGTCTTCCAACATGACAATGATCCCAAACATACCGCCCGGGCAACGAAGGAGTTGCTTCGTAAGAAGCATTTCAAGGTCCTGGAGTGGCCTAGCCAGTCTCCAGTCTCAACCCCATAGAAAACCTTTGGAGTTGAAAGTCCATGTTGCCCAGCGACAGCCCCAAAACATCACTGCTCTAGAGGAGATCTGCATGGAGGATGGGCCAACATACCAGCAACAGTGTGTGCCAACCTTGTGAAGACTTCCAGGAAACGTCTGACCTCTGTCATTGCCAACAAAGGATATATAACAAAGTGTTGACATGAACTTTTCATATTCACCAAATACTTATTTTCCACCATAATTTGCAAATAAATTCTTTCCAGATCAGCCAATGTGATTGTCTGGATTTGTTTTCTCATTTTGTCTCTCATAGTTGAGGTCTCCCTATGATGCCAATTACAGGCCTCTCTCATCTTTGTAAGTGGGAGAACTTGTACAATTGGTGGGGACTAAATACTTTTTTGCCCCACTGTAAGTGGGTGCTGCAGCAACCGTCGTCTGGAACCAAACAGAATCAGCAAGGGACAATGTCACCAGCACACCGAGGATCACCAATATGGGTCCAAAAGTTTTAATGAACGATCACAGTTACAGCAAGGCAACGTTTCAGAGTCTCTCAGGACTTCTTCATCAGGCATGTGACATCACATGCCTGATGAAGAAATCCTGCGAGACTCCAAAACGTTGCCTTGCTGTAACAATGTGATCGTTCATTAAAACTTTTGGACCCATATTGGTGATCCTCGGTGTGCTGGTGACATTCTCCCTTTCATTGTCATGTACAACACAAATTCTAATGACCTTCTTTAAGGAAATGTTAAAACTGAGTGTAGGTGTCGCCCTCGTACACACTCACCTTTTCTATCTCCAGGTCGGACACCAGCATAACAATCAGTGACACCTTTTGCTCATAAATCATCAGCCAAAAGTCGGAGGCGGTCCCTGGAAGCGGGGCCTGGGTGGCGATAATGGTGGGACAGTAAGAAGATAGATCTTCGATCTTGCTAGCATTGATGTAGTCGTCTTTCCCCGACTGCAGGACTATACGGTTCTTGTCATAGGGCATGATGTCCTGATGTCTGTTCTTCATAGTATAGCAGCGAGCAATGGCGATGGAGAGGTTCCTGGCCTCCTTTTCCTGAGCCTCCTGGAACTCCTTCCACATGGAGTCAAGTTGAGTCGCAGCACCAGGCACTGGTTTGTCAAGAGCGCTCACCGCGACTCGGAAGCGATCGAGTTCAGACAACAGCCTCATCACATGCTCCGGTTTCTCGTATGGGTCATTCTCTATCAGTTGAATGCCTTTGGGTTTCTGCCCGTCTTTAGCGTCGGCCTTGGTTGGTTGTAATAACGGCTGCCCTACTGATGTCTTGGAACCTCCGTGTTGGCTTTCAGGACTAGAGGACAGGAGATCATCGGTGGTGGAATTCTGCTTCTGAAATACGGGTTCTGTAGAGCCTTGGCCTAAATGTGTGGTTCCAGGAGTCAGAGAAGGGGGAGGTCTCTGAGGCAAAGTCGTGCTGGTTGATACAGCTGAAGGAATGACTGCCGGTGGCTGGACAACCAGGGACGGCTGTGGAGAGGGTGCAGGAGATGGGATGGCTGCAGCCCCCGAAACAATGGCAGCGCCTGGAATCTGGCTGAGAGCTGGGCTGCTGGCAGGCTGTATGTGATGAGGCAGGGATGCACCCTGTGGTGCTCCGATTGGCATTTGAGGTCCTGTTGGTATTGAATTTCCGATACCACTAGCAGAGGGAACAGTGTGTCTTACAGGAGCAGCAAAGGGCATAGATGGTGTAATCTGGGAGGCTGATCCAGGAGGTAGAGGCTGAGCTGCTGGAATGGTATGTGGGAGGATATGCGGTGTAGCCTGGCTCAGAGGTGGAGGTACAGGCTGTAGCGGCTGGGGAGACGCTCTTGGAAACGCGCCAGAGAACGGCGTAAGAAGGGGAGGCTGAGGAGGATTATCGTTCTTTGCGACCGGAAAAAACGCTGCCCCACTAAATGTGGAAGAACTTGCACGCCAGGGTGCATGGGCTGCACTGCAGAGTGTGGAGGCTGCAAAACAGAACTGGGTGGGGGTACACTTGAATGGCCAGGATGAATGGTGGATGGTGGCGGCTGCACAGCTGTGTGGGGAGGCTGCACTGAAGAACCTGGCGGCTGCATAGCGGCATGTGGAGGCTGGACTACAGAACCTGGCGGCTGCATAGCGGCATGTGGAGGCTGGACTACAGAACCTGGTGGCTGCATAGCGGGATGTGGAGGCTGGACTACAGAACCTGGTGGCTGCATAGCATGTGGAGGCTGCATTGGAAACTGCTGAAACTGTTGCTGAGGAGGCAATGGGGTACTGAGAGGCATTCCCGGAGGCTGTCCTTGCTGCTGAAAAGCAGTAGCCTGCTGTGGATGTATAGGGGGCCTCATCTGAGGAGCAAATTGAGGCTGGGCCCCATACGGTGGTTGTAAGGGCTGTGACTGGACCTGCGTATCCAGTCTAGGCTGTGCCTGACCGTGAATAGGAAACATCTGAGCAGCAGATAAATGTGTCGGAGGAGGCTGAACGTAATTCTGAACTCCACCTTGTGGGTATGGAAAAGGAGGGGTCTGGCCAATTATGGGAGGAGCAGGGGCTCCAATATAACCACTTTGAGGATGACCCAAGGGACGGGCATGTGGAGCTCCTCCAGCTGGGGCTGATCCTGGTAACCGCGGGGCTGCGTAGCTCGATATGGGCCCCTGAATACTGTCCACGGTTGTCGTCGCAGGTCGGATGGTTTGCGGCACTGGAGGCTGCATATTGTTTGGCAGCATCTGGTTAGGGAACCGATGGTTGGAGTTTAGAGGTTGAACAGCTGCACCCTGGGTAAAGGGAGGGGGTAGATTCCCTACAGGCGGAACATGTGGACCAACCCCATATGCCGCTGCAGCACTTGGCTTAAACTGAGCTGCCAAATGCGCCGCGACAGGCATTGGCATATGCTGTGGGGAAGTTCTTTGCGGTGGCCCAGCTGCCGGCAGATACCCTGGTGCCACAGGGGCCGATGCTAGGTTTGGCTGACCAGGCCCCCCTGCTGGATACGCTTTTGGAATCCTTGAAGGAGAAGAGGTTGGTATTTGTCCGTGTGCGATGGACTGATCTGGAGAAGGATGCATGAACTGTGGAGGAATGGCAGTTCCTGAAGTCACAGGAGGGATATTGTTATACGTGATGGGTGGGAAGGCATGGCCAGCTCCTGGGTGGTACGGCGTGGGATGGACATTAAAAGGAGCCTGGCTGAAAGGCACTGCAAGCGGGTCTGGCATGGGGGCGGTAGCGGTTCTAACACCACGAAAAGGGTCTGGCGTGGGCGGCCTCATTCCCCTGTATGCAGCTGTCGGCCCAACAGGAAAGGCAGCAAGAGCATCAGCGGTCATCCGGTCCAGGTGGGCGACGAGGGCATCAGGTGGTAAACTCCTAAGCTCTTCTGGGAGGTCCGAAAAGAAGAGGGATGAAAACTTCTGTAAGTCGGCCAGGTCACCTGCAGGAAGGTTCTCAAGGTCCATGTCGGAAACCTTCTTCTCGAGCGCTGGTTTAGGGGCCGTTGGACGGGGAGGAGGCTTCTTTTTCATCTCCCTAAGAAGACAAGAGAAATACGACAATACAGGACACGGCAGAGCATTGTACACGGACTAAAAAGGCACCCCCTCCCCCCTTGCAAAATCATGAATGAACTGTGATTAACCACATTTTTTTGGAAAGCCAAAGTTCAATTCCACTTGCCACACCCAGACCGGATTACTGCCAGACCTGTTGAATCAAGAAAATACCTAACCTCTTGCCGGCCGGACGGGAGCGCTGCCAATATGAGGAGATGTTTCTAAATGTTCCCCTGCATACATTGCCTGTGTGCGCTCCCTGGGAGCGCGAGGCACCGTGATCTGTGCCTGCTGTGTCCGGAGGACACAATGGAACACAGATCACTGTACAGGACCTCTGTGCGAGGTCCCGATTCATGTGATCATTGATTGGCCAATCAGTGAGCACATGCAAGATGTCACTTCCTGACCTCATTGCTTACTACGTGTGAAATCTGTGAATGTTTACAGAGGTCACAGGGTACAGGGCCATTCACAACAGCCTTGTACCATGTGACAAGCTGTGACTAATCACAGCTCACACAGTATTTCTCAATGGCTGCAGGAATGCAGCCAGAGAGAAGGAGAAATGATTGCTTTTACAGCCTTTATGGGTGTAAAAGCAATCGGTGTAAAAAAAGAAAGAAAAAGTAAATCATCACCCCCCCACAAGTAGTACAGCGTCACCATGGTGACACTGTACTGCCAGGGTGACAGTATGTTAAAAAAAAAAAAAAAAAAAACAAATTATAAAAAATCTAAAATAAAAAAAAAGTAGAAAAATTATAATTTTTGGTTAACAAATTTAGGTTTTTTTTTTTTTTTTTTACTAAAAAAAGGATAGATGAATACATTTTGGCCAAGATTTATGAAGATTATTTATTTGCAAAATTTTATAGGAAAAACATTTCAAAATTTTTGGACTTTTTCATTTATATAGCAAAAAAAATTAAAATCCCAGTGATGAATAAACACCACCAAAATAAAGTTTTATCGGTCTCAAAAAAAATGCTAAAAAATTCATATGGGTACAGTGTTGCATGACCGCGCAATTGTCAAAGTGTGATAGCGCTGAAAGCTGAAAATTGGCCTGGACTGGAGGGGGGGTGAAAGCGTCCGGACTGGAAGGGGGGGTGAAAGCGTCCGGACTGGAAGGGGGGGTGAAAGCGTCCGGACTGGAAGGGGGGGTGAAAGCGTCCGGACTGGAAGGGGGGGGTGAAAGCGTCCGGACTGGAAGGGGGGGTGAAAGGGGGGGTGAAAGCGCCGGGACTGGAAGGGGGGGAAAGCGTCCGTGAAAGCGTCCGGACTGGAAGGGGGGGTGAAAGCGTCCGGACTGGAAGGGGGGGTGAAAGCGTCCGGACTGGAAGGGGGTGAAAGCGTCCGGACACTGGAAGGGGGGGTGAAAGCGTCCGGACTGGAAGGGGGGGTGAAAGCGTCCGGACTGGAAGGGGGGGTGAAAGCGTCCGGACTGGAAGGGGGGGTGAAAGCGTCCGGACTGGAAGGGGGGGGGTGAAAGCGTCCGGACTGGAAGGGGGGGTGAAAGCGTCCGGACTGGAAGGGGGGGGTGAAAGCGTCCGGACTGGAAGGGGGGGGGGGGGGTGAAAGCGTCCGGACTGGAAGGGGGGGTGAAAGCGTCCGGGGACTGGAAGGGGGGGGTGAAAGCGTCCGGACTGGAGGGGGGGTGAAAGCGTCCGGACTGGAAGGAGGGTGAAAGCGTCCGGACTGGAAGGAGGGTGAAAGCGTCCGACTGGAAGGAGGGTGAAAGCGTCCGGACTGGAAGGAGGGTGAAAGCGTCCGGACTGGAAGGAGGGTGAAAGCGTCCGGACTGGAAGGAGGGTGAAAGCGTCCGGACTGGAAGGGGGGTGAAAGCGTCCGGACTGGAAGGGGGTGAAAGCGTCCGGACTGGAAGGGGGTGAAAGCGTCCGGACTGGAAGGGGGTGAAAGCGTCCGGACTGGAAGGGGGTGAAAGCGTCCGGACTGGAAGGGGGTGAAAGCGTCCGGGACTGGAAGTGGTTAAATAGAAACTGTCTGACAAAGTGAAGCGTGCTAAAAGATCTCAAAAAGCAACACATGCCGCCATTTAAAGAAATTCAAGAACAGATGAGAAACAAAGTAATTGACATGTATCAGTTTGGAAAGGGTTATAGAAAAAGGGGGAAAAATTTTTTTAAAAAAAGCTGTCCAAACCTGGCTGGCCCTATGTGAAAAAATAATTGCCCCCTAAACCTAATAAACTGGTTTGCCACCCTTGCCGGCAACAACTGCAATCAAGTGTTTGCGATAACTGGCAATGAGTCTTTCACATCGCTGACTTTTACCCCCTTCCTGTCCAGGCCAAATTTTCAGCTTTCAGCGCTATCACACTTTGAATAACTATTGCGCGGTCATGCAACACTGCACCCATATGAATTTTTTAGCAATTTTTTTGAGACAGATAAAGCTTTATTTTGGTGGCATTTAACGACCACTGTGATTTTTTTTTTTTTTGCTATGTAAATGAAAAAAAAAAAAAAAAACAAAAATGTAAAAAAAAAAGTGTTTTTCTTATAAAATTTTACAAATATATATTTCATCATAAATCTTGGCCAAAATTTATTCAGTTATCTTTTAAGTAAAAAAAATTAAAAAATAACCCAAATTAGTTTATAACCAAAAATTATAATTTTGAAACTTTTTTTACATTTTTATTTTTTTGTGGTTTTTTTTTTTTTTTTTTTTACCGTCACTTGTGGGGGGTGAAGATTTTTTTTTTTTTTTTTTTTTTTTTTACAACGATTGCTTTTACACCCATAAAGGCTGTAAAAGCAATAATTTCTCCTCCTCTCTGGCTGCATTCCTGCAGCCATTGAGAACTACTGTGTGAGCTCTGATTAGACACAGCTTGTCACATGGTACAAGGCTGTTGTGAATAGCCCTGTACCATGTGATCTCTGTGATCATTCACAGATTTCACACGTAGTAAGCAATGATGTCAGAAGTGAAATCTTGCTTACTACTCTTCATGTGATCACCGATTCGCCAATCAGTGATCACATGATCGGGACCTCGCACAGACGTCCCGTCCGACGATCGGTGTTCCATTGTGTCCGGAGGACACAGCGGCACCGGATCGCGGTGCTGTGCGCTCCCTGGGAGCAGGGGGCGGGAAGGCAGTTTATAAACGGCCACCTGCCCCTGCACTGCCACCGCCCAGCCATTTATATACAACAGCCGGAAGGGAAGTGGTTAATTCAGCCACATTGGAGGGGTTTCAAGCATGAATTGCCTGTTTAAGGTCATGCCACAGCATCTCGATCGGGTTAAAGTTTGGACTTTACTTAGCCACTCCAAAACCTTAATTTTGTTTTCTTGAGCCATTCAGAGGTGGACTTACTGGTGTGTTCCGGATCATTGTCCTGCTGGATAACCCAAGTGCGCTTGAGCCTGAGGTCAGGAACTGATAGCTGGACAATCTCCTTCACGATTTTCTGGTAGAACACAAAAGTCATGGTTCCATCAATCATGGCAAGATGTCCAGGCCCTGAACCCAGACCACCACACTACCACCACCACGTGTGACTGTTGGGATGATGTTCTTTTTATGAAATGCTGTGTTGGTTTTACGCAAGATGTAATGGGACGTTCAACTGCTGTCTCATCAGTCCATAGAATATTCGCCCAATAGTCTTGGGGATAATCAAGATGTTTTTTGGCAAATGTGAGACGAGCATTTGTGGTTTTTTTTGGTCAGCAGTGGCTTTGGTCCAGGAACTACTCTCCCATGGAGGCCATTTTTGGCCAGTCTCTTTCTTATTGTTGAATCATGAACCTTAACATAGGCAAGTGAGGCCTGCAGTTCTTTAGATGTTGTTCTGGGTTCTTTTATGACCTCCTGGATGAGTCGGCATTGTGATCTTGGAACTTCCCAGGAGTGGCTGGCCTACCAAAACTATTCCAAGTCTTCTCCATTTGTGGATAATGGCTCTCACCGTGGTTCGCTGGAGTCCCAAAGCCTTAGAAACGGCTTTGTAACCCTTTTACATAGATGTCAATTACTTGGTTTCTAATCTGTTCTTGAGTTTCTTTAGATCGCGGCATGATGTGTTGCTTTTCAAGATCTTTTAAGTGAGCTTCACTTTGTCAGACAGCTTCTATTTAGTTGTTTTCTTGATTCAACAGGTCTGGCAGTAATCAGGCCTGGGTGTGGCAAATTAAATTTAATATCCCTGCAAGCATGAGAGCCGTGTAGGATAAACCCTTTAATACAGGGGTGCTCAACCTTTTGATGAGTGAGGGCCACTTAAAGGGATTTGGAAACTGGTTGTGAGCCACAGTAAAATGGTTCCAATTTTTTATTTTGAATATCATAATGAACGTTTTCCTCCTGCAGCCGCTGAATGCCGGCGGGAGGGAGAGGAGAGGAGGAGAAGCCGGATTTCAGCGGTTGCAGGAAGAAAATGGGAGAGGACCGGTTTCCTGTATATGCCTCCCCTACTGTGCAACTGTAAAACAGAATGTGACAGGGAGGCCACATGGGCCCCCTTGAGCAGGCGGCATGGTCGCCATTGGGACCTCTGATACTACACCAGTAAATTGGGGGTGGTGGTGGTGTAAAAACATGTCTCAACTATTGGGTTTTATCACTCTGTCTCCAGGCTGCTAGAGAGGTCCCCAGCGTGAAGTGCACTTGGTATCACTCCGCCTCGGACAGGAGTGGGTGCTACAGAGGAAGCATCGGCTTATGCGGCTCCTGCTTCCTCCGATGCCGGCTCGGTGCACTCTGATGCTCTGGGATGGCAAGTTGGCAAGCCCAGATCACAACCAATTGACTTTCGACCCAGAGCATGCACTTCCCTGGTTTCTGGTTTGAGGTCAAGGGCCACAGGTTGAGCACCCTTTGCTGTATTATCATTTTCACAATATGCAGAGAAGTAACAAGTACCGTTCCAGGATCGCTTGCCGGCTGGATTGTGAGGCTTCGAAGGCCGCTCGAGTCTTTTCCAGAAGTTTGGCGACTTTGCTCTCTAAATCAGCATAAAAGTCTTTCCCTTCCTGAGACTTCTTCATCAGGTCCTCATAGGCCTCATAGGAAGAGATGAGAGTCTGCACGGTGTGATTCCACCTAAACGGACAAGAGAAAAAAAAGGACTGAACACAAACGGAATGCGTCAACAATTTTTAAGCGGCAACTGTTTTGGGCCAACACTGAGATAAGACACCATGGCCTGCTTCCAGCCTCCCTGGGAGAGAAATGAACAGCAGATACATACACCAGCATTTCCCCCCAAACAGTACAGGGTGGGCCGATTTAAAGTTGAGTTCCACCCAAAAGTGAAAGCTCCGCTTAGCTACATTTGGCATATCTTTTTTTTTTTGGGGGGGGGTGCCTGGTTTTGCCAGGAAGTTCAGCCCCCCCCCCGCCTTCTGAGACATTTTATAGGTCCCAAAGGACTGCGACCCATTCACAAATGGAAACCGCCTGAGGCCGCAAGGCTTCACTTCCAGTTTCCCTTAGTCAAAATGGCGGCACCAGCACCTGACAGCCGACTGAAGAATCGGCTCAGGGTGAGGACACTGTGGGATCCCTGGACAGTGCCAGAATATTAGAATATTAAAAGTCAGCGGCTACAGTATTTGTAGCCGCTGACTTATTTTTTTTTTGGGGGGGGGGGGGGGGCCAGAACTCCACTTTAAGATCCCTGGTACCACATCCCCCAATCCTAGTCCAATACGAACATATCTACATATTTTCAGTGCTCCTACTCCTTAAACCTCTCTGCGGCCTTCGGCACAGTCCACCACCCCCTCCTCCTCAAAAAACTACACTCCCTCGGCCTCAGAGATTCTGCTCTCTCCTGGGCTCTCATCCTACCTGTCACAACGCTCTTTCAGCGTTACCTATAATGCTACCACCTCCCCCTCACTCCCCCGCCTCTGTTGGGGTCCCTCAAGGCTCTGTCCTCGGGCCCCTTCTCTTCTCCATCTACACCTCCTCCCTTGGTCAACTCATACACTCTCACGGCTTCAACTACCACCTCTATGCCGACGACACGCAAATCTATCTCTCAACTCCCCACCTCACCCCCTCGGTCTCTGCCCGAATCACACACCTACTGAGCGACATATCAGACTGGATGTCGCTCCACTTCCTTAAACTGAACCTCTCCAAAACCGAGTTTCTTGTCTTCCCCCCAGCCCGGACCCCACCCCCCACTGACTTCTCCATCATGTCCAACAATGCCACCATCAAACCCGCCCCACAGGCCAGAGTACTTGGGGCTGGAAGGATAGGTTGGAGTCCAGAATGACACCAAGTCCAATCACTAACAAAACTCATGCAGACTCCGCCTCATCGCCAAAATCCGCACGTTCCTAACTTTAGAAACCACTAAACAGCTCATCCACTCCATCATATCACGACTCGACTACTGCAACTCCCTCCTCACTGGCCTGCCTCGCCGCTGGCTATCCCCGCTTCAGTCCATCCTGAATACGGCTGCCAGACTCATTCACCTTTCCAACCGCTCCATCTCCGCCACCCCCCTCTGCCAATCCCTCCACTGGCCTCCACTCAGTGTCCTCCACCCCCCTCTGCCAATCCCTCCACTGGCTTCCGATTGCGCAACGGATCAAATTTAAAATCCTAACACTGACGTACAAAGCCGTCCACCATACTGCCCCAAACTACATCACTGACCTAATATCCAAGTACCACCCAACACGCACACTCCGCTCCTCACAAGACCTCCTTCTCTCTAGTTCCCTGGTCTCCTCCTCCCATGCCCGCCTCCAGGACTTCTTTAGGGTGTCACCCATCCTCTGGAACTCCCTGCCCCAACCCATCAGATTATCACCTACTCTCCTCTCCTTTAGGCGCACCCTGAAAACCCATCTCTTCAGGGAAGCCTACCCCACCCCCTGCTAACTTGCCGACCTCCTCCACTCTTCCTACCACTCCATCCCCCACAGCTATCTCCTCCTGTACCACCATCCCCTCCCTCCTAGATTGTAAGCTCGAAAGAGCAGGGCCCTCGATCCCCTCATGTTTTGCATTGTATTGTTATTGTTCTGTACTCCTTTGTAACGTACAGCGCTGAGCGAACTGTCGGCGCTTTATAAATACTGTATAATAGTAATAATAATAATATTTACAGATAAATGGGACTTTAGAGGTCACAAATAAACCAAAACATGACCACTAGAAGTACGACGGTATAGACAAGATAGGACAAAATAGTCTCAAAAACTATAAGAACACTAAGCCCGGGATCACACTGATGCAGTCTGGAATTTGCAGTTTTCAGTGCGAATTCCGCACTGCATCAAAATCGCACCCAGTTCATGCGAACCGCTGCGGGTGTGTATGTTAAGTTAACAACACCCCGAAATCGGTCTGCAAAACACAGTGCGATGTGCAGAATCAGATTGCATAGGTGTGAATCCCCATGCCATCCAATTCTAGTGTGGACCCAAAAAAGGGTCCTGCACCTTTTTGGCGCAAATGCGGTGCGATCTGAGCTATAATGTACGGCTCCAATCACACCGCACACAATTTGCATGTGCGAATGCGTTGCGGTTCCTGTGCGAATCGCATGCGGTGTACCGCACCACAGGTGTGTGAACATATCCTAAGGGTGGCTTCGCATGCCGTTTTCTAGCAGATTACTGGCGCTTTCCCAATTTTCTTCAATCATGTTCCGCTGCCTCAGTGCCAACCACGTCCCGCTGCCTCAGTGCCAACCACGTCCCGCTGCCTCAGTGCCAACCACGTCCCGCTGCCTCAGTGCCAACCACGTCCCGCTGCCTCAGTGCCAACCACGTCCCGCTGCCTCAGTGCCAACCACGTCCCGCTGCCTCAGTGCAGTTTCAGAAACTGCACCAAAAAAATGAAGCAAGCAGGTGTTTTGGTGCGCCAAAACCGCAGCACCTAATAGAAGCCTATGGGAAAGTGCAGCTAATCCGTATGAAAACCACGAGTTAGCTGTGCTTTAGCAAATGTGCAACGTGGCAGCGTGAAGGCGCCCTAAGTAAAGTGCGGTACAAGTAGGTACAGGAAGAATCAATGAACTGCCACGGCACTCCATAACACCGTGGTAGTTCACTGAGAACTACAAGCTGACACTTCCTGGTTTCTTGCCTAGAAAATGATGTATTTGTTCCCAGGAGCATCCTGAGATACCCAAGCATCTCAAGTGGTCAAACATCTCAGGAGGCCAAGGGGACTCTACTGCAAATGCCCTGTAGCATCGGGAAGGGAAGTTGATTTTCAGGGTTTACTGGCGGTAACGTGCATATAGAACCTCTTGGGAAGACAGAAAGTTGGCACCTGGACAGGGAAAGGACACCATATTTGAAAAATGGCTGAAGATTGGCAAACAGAGCATTACCATGCAACCAAAGTTAGGGTAATAACCCACCATACCATAGAGAAAGACCACCAACAAAATGGCTGTATTGGCCAGTCTATGAAGATGGAAGTTGAAGACCTGTGTTCTATTTTCTCCGTTGCTCTCTCACCCATCCCCTGGCCATCACAAAACAATATAATTAGTGACCAATAAGGAAGACCAATGGTGAACCTACTTCTGTTCGGCATCCGTCAGGATCTTCCGTATCGGTGCGTACTTCACGTTGGCTTCGGTCAGGGCTTTCAGGATGTTCTCTTGGGCCGACAAGTTCTGGTCAATGTAAACCTTCAACTGTTCGTATTTTTTCAGCTGCTCTGCAAAGAGTTTCTAAAAGAAGAAGATCCAGGAGTGGTCAGTTAGGACAGGACCAGGCAGCACAAGCAGTGACCGTAAGCAGGACTGGCCACACGCAAGTACAGTAATGGAGACTCTTCGGGGCCAAGTTACAGTGCAAGTTCTAGCAGGTTCAGTAATTGTGATATTTTGTGCTTGCCATACAATGTGTTTCTTGAAGTCCATTGAGGGACACTGGAATTCGGGTTATACCGTCATCGACAGGAGGTTGGAACCCTGACAGAGAAAAGTTGCAAGCTAGCCCCATATAACCCCTCTTATACCCAACATGCCTCAGCTCTGTGTGCAAGCAGTATACAGGACCAGTATAGACAGAGGACAGGACTTGTGTAAATTTCCCGATAAGTACAAAACCAAATTGTTTTCCCATTGTCCATTGAGGGACACAGGAATTCAGAAACAGTCAGGACATCTGAAAGCAGTTGTGCCGAGAGGTGGGCTAAATCCACTGACTGAACCAAGAAAGGACAAGGAACTACCTGACCGGGACTACCAGAAGGACCAACGCCTGAAGCTGAACCAAATCTTCAAGACAGAGGAAACTGCCAGCAGAGGGTCAATCCAATTCAGACTAGAACAGGTAAGATCACCCCTAAGGGGAACAAATCCAACTGAAGAACACTCAATCCACATCAGCAAGAGCTGTGGAGAAAAAAAACAAAACAGAAGTAGGACAACAAGGAGGAGGAGTTGACCAACATTGTAATATGGTCACGAAAAAGAGCACTGGAGAAAATCTCCAGGAGGAAAGGTCCCCAAAGGCAACGGACTGTGGACAACAAATGGGTCTGCAAAAGGAGAGTGGCTGGTGTGCAAAGGGAACATGTCTAATGGGCTCGAGGAGCGGGGCCGGTGGGCTCGAGGAGCGTGGAAGGGTGCCAGCACGGGCGGTGCGCTGGAGGAGAGCGCGCCCCGTGCCAGCACGGGCGGTGCGCTGGAGGAGAGTGCGCCCGGTGTGTGCTGGAGGGGAGCGCGCCCGGTGTGTGCTGGAGGGGAGCGCGCCCGGTGTGTGCTGGAGGGGAGCGCCCCCCCCCGTGCCAGCACGGCCGGTGCGCTGGAGGGGAGCGCCCCCCCCGTGCCAGCACGGCCGGTGCGCTGGAGGGGAGCGCCCCCCCCCCGTGCCAGCACGGCCGGAGCGCTGGAGGGGAGCGCGCTCGGTGAGTGCTGGAGGGGAGTGCGCCCGGTGTGTGCTGGAGGGGAGCGCGCCCGGTGTGTGCTGGAGGGGAGCGCCCCCCCCCGTGCCAGCACGGCCGGTGCGCTGGAGGGGAGCGCCCCCCCCGTGCCAGCACGGCCGGTGCGCTGGAGGGGAGCGCCCCCCCCCCCCGTGCCAGCACGGCCAGAGCGCTGGAGGGGAGCGCGCCCGGTGAGTGCTGGAGGGGAGCGCGCCCGGTGAGTGCTGGAGGGGAGCGCGCCCGGTGAGTGCTGGAGGGGAGCGCGCCCGGTGAGTGCTGGAGGGGAGCGCGCCCGGTGAGTGCTGGAGGGGAGCGCGCCCGGTGAGTGCTGGAGGGGAGCGCGCCCGGTGTGAAAATCAGAGAAGGAGGGTACCAGGATAAGAACGAGGTTGCCTGGTCAGATAACCCATCTTACATGAGATAGAATAAAAATAGTTAGACCAGAGTTAAAGGAAAGGTGTCCAACCTCCTATGACACCAGCAAGAAACTGAGGCATGCTGGGTAGAAGAGGGGATATAAAGAGGCAGGTTAAAGTGTTTATTTTGTCCAATCCTTCAGTAGGCGGCGGTATAAACCTGAGCGTTTCTGAATTCCTGTGCCCCTCAATAGACAAAAAAGGTTTTTTATACGTCTAAAACAGTAAAATTCGAAGAGTAACTTGACTGGGTGTGATCCGGGGAGGTGACCGCTCTTTGAGGCTCCCAATATTTTACCCCTATTGCAGTCAACTCAACCAAACCAACGTTAGCATGAAGATCTGAGGAATTATTTGGAAGACTGAACTCCATGGCCATGGATCTTTCTTTGATTCTACGTAACAAGGAAGGAGTTCTGTGACCAGTGCTACCCAAAGGACGAGATTCTCGTCTCTGGACCTGGATGACCTGACCTGCATCTATAAATGGATCCGAAAATAAAAATTGTCTTAGTTGTCAATAGGGACCAGATTGTCAACTTCATGAACTAGAAGATAAAAGAAAGGAGGTGTCTGGCCGATGGTAACTAAAGCGTCCTCACCTTCATCTCGGAGCGGTCGGTGGTGACCAGGGAAGTGGTGATGTCGTCTTTCTGTATGGTATCCCGCAGCTGCTGCTCCAGAGAAAGGCGCTGATCCCTCATCTCCCGCACCTTGTGCAGGATCCGCTTCAGGTTCTGCAGGACTGACTTGTCATCTGAAAAGAGAGCATGTGATCAGCTCCAGGTTCAACCACCACTGGAGGTCTTCGCATCCCATTCATGTCACTATACGGCAGGGAGTCCAACGCTCTTTTGTTAAACCAGTGGTCTCCAAAATGTGTCCTTTTGCTTGCTTGTATTCTGCCCTTGAAGCACTATTCCTCTTACTGACACCAATGATGGGGCACTATTCCTTCCACTGACACCAATGATGGGGCACTATTCCTCCCACTGACACCAATGATGGGGCACTATTCCTCCCACTGACACCAATGATGGGACACTATTCCTTCCACTGATACCAATGATGGGGCACTATTCCTCCCACTGACACCAATGATGGAGCACTATTCCTTCCAATGACACGAATGATGGAGTACTATTTCTTCCACTAATGATGGGGCACTATTACTCCAATTTACATCAATGATGGGCCACTATTCCTTCCACTGACACCAATGATGGGGCACTATTCCTCCCACTGACACCAATGATGGGGCACTATTCCTCCCACTGACACCAATGATGGGGCACTATTCCTTCCACTGATACCAATGATGGAGCACTATTCCTTCCAATGACACGAATGATGGAGCACAATTCCTCCTATTTACATCAATGATGGGGTGCTATTCCTTCCACTGACACCAATGATGGGGCACAATTCCTCCCACTGATACCAATGATGGGGCACTATTCCTCCCACTGACACCAATGATGGGGCACTATTCCTCCCACTGACACCAATGATGGGGCACTATTCCTTCCACTGATACCAATGATGGAGCACAATTCCTCCTATTTACATCAATGATGGGGTGCTATTCCTTCCACTGACACCAATGATGGGGCACTATTCCTCCCACTGATACCAATGATGGGGCACAATTCCTCCCATTTAAACCAATGATGAGGCATCATTTACTCCCACTGATGCTGGCGCATCTTCCACTCCCACTGGCCACAGTTCCCCCCTCCCCCCCAAAGCCTGAAGGAAAGTAAACTGGCCCTTTTATATAAAAGAGTCTCAATTATTTGAAAAAACCTTGCGAGCCAAGTAATAAAATTCCTATTGTTGGATCGCAAACTTCTAGCACATAACTACCAATGTGAAAAAGCGTGAAAATAAAAATGTAGTATTGCGCTCACAACCTTCCAATCTATATATATAGACAAATAAAAATGTGTATATGATATACATAAATAACTGAATAAGTGAATCTGTAGAAATCAACTCACATGAGCAAAATATACAACAGTGAAAAAAACTAAAAGAAAATAATATAATAATATTGTATAATAATAATGTCCCACAAAAAATAAGTGACTTTGTGCTGAAAAATCTTCAATATCTTTTAAATGGGTGACTGCTTGTGCCTCCTCCCTCAAGTGAAGATGTGCGCTCACCTCATAGATAGCCTGCAATTAGGCTATTAAAGCTTGCGGTTCACCTCCTTGGAACCTACTTGTTTAGGAATTGATGTTGATAAGATAACCATGAAATGCGACATGTGCTGTAGAAAAGTATCCTCTCACTGGGTGCTACTCCACTGTCTTCTTATTTCCATGCGATCCTCCATATATAAGAAAAATCCTGACATGGTGCTTTATCGTTTTAAAAGCTTTTAATGTGAAGCTGACAGGTGGCACTCACATAAAATCATATAGTGGTAGTACAACTGATTCAAATATCCACTGGCTGGCGGAGCTATGCACTCGTGGTCCGATATCCGGACTGACTCCCTCCGAGTGACGTGAACAGTCCCACCCCTACGCGTTACGCCACTAGTCACGTGGCTTCATCAGGGGGATTTGATTGGTCACCAAAAAAAGCCACGTGACTAGTGGCGTAACGCGTAGGGGTGGGACTGTTCACGTCACTCGGAGGGAGTCAGTCCGGATATCGGACCACGAGTGCATAGCTCCGCCAGCCAGTGGATATTTGAATCAGTTGTACTACCACTATATGATTTATGTGAGTGCCACCTGTCAGCTTCACATTAAAAGCTTTTAAAACGATAAAGCACCATGTCAGGATTTTTCTTATATATGGAGGATCGCATGGAAATAAGAAGACAGTGGAGTAGCACCCAGTGAGAGGATACTTTTCTACAGCACATGTCGCATTTCATGGTTATCTTATCAACATCAATTCCTAAACAAGTAGGTTCCAAGGAGGTGAACCGCAAGCTTTAATAGCCTAATTGCAGGCTATCTATGAGGTGAGCGCACATCTTCACTTGAGGGAGGAGGCACAAGCAGTCACCCATTTAAAAGATATTGAAGATTTTTCAGCACAAAGTCACTTATTTTTTGTGGGACATTATTATTATACAATATTATTATATTATTTTCTTTTAGTTTTTTTCACTGTTGTATATTTTGCTCATGTGAGTTGATTTCTACAGATTCACTTATTCAGTTATTTATGTATATCATATACACATTTTTATTTGTCTATATATATAGATTGGAAGGTTGTGAGCGCAATACTACATTTTTATTTTAAACTGGCCCTTTGCTTAGCATGTTTGGAGACCCCTGAATAGAGGACCAAAGCGCCTCACTTTATATATCAACAGCAAAAACATTAACATGAAAACAGGCAGACTGCAGAAGACATTGAGTAGACTACGACTCCAACAGTGAAGATCTGTAATAGGAAACCTCTAAAAATGTAAATTGTACCACAGCTGTTCTCCTTGCTGCAGAGGAAGCTGTACCTGAGGACCTGCAGTGCAAGGATCTCCCTGCTTCATCTATTCTGTGGGGATCTGTACTTCCTCCATCCTTATTACCCCACCAGCCATCACATCAGCTGCATGGAAACCGCAGACAATATTGGTGACCAGTCATTTATCTTTTTTTTGTCTATTGGTAGGACACAAAAAGCGGAGAAACAAAAAGCCAAACCTGACACATTCCCCAAAAATGGACTGGACAAAACGATTGGCACCTTCTCAAAATTGTAAGAAATAACTGCATTCCAAGTCTGTGATGCTCCTGTAATTTGTCAAGAAAAACTCACCTGTATCAATTACTAGGTTCCAACAATATAAAAAAATAAAAAAATTCACACCGGCAACCAGTTAAAATGGCAAATCATTATTTTTGTTGTGTGTCTCTGTGTGACACATGGAGCACGGAGAAGAGAAAGAGCAGCAAAGAATTGTCTGAGGATTTGAGAACAAAAATGGTGGAAAAGTACGGACAGCCTCAAGGTGACAAGTCCATCTCCAGAGATCTTAATGTTCCTGTGTCCACTGTGCGCAACATTGTCAAGAAGTTTACAGCCTGTGCCACTGTAGCTCCTCCAGGCACACCTTCCCTTAACCTATCCTACTATGGAGGCTTTTAAAATTTTAGTTAGGTCCACAGTATACAGAGGACCCTTGACGTGGGAATGAGGCTTACGCAGGTATTTGCAAATGTGTGCAAACAAAACCCTCTTGTTTTCAACGCACACTGTTAGGACGGGGCCAAATTGGTTGTTTCGCAAGCTAGCTGGTAAGTGTTGCTGGGAAACCTTTTGTTTGTCTTGCAATGTAGCTAAATCGATGTGGACGAAAGAGAAAAAAAAAAAATAAAAAAATAAAAAAATCGATCAAAGTTGCAACAAAGGATTGTTGGAATGATGGATTAAGAACCTCCATCAATTTCCAGACAAATCCAAGCTGACCTTCAGGAACAGGGTGCAACTTTGTCAGCTCGCACTATACGAAAAAGGACGCTATGGTAGGAGACCCAGGAGGACCCCACTGCTGACACAGAAATATGGTAGGAGACCCAGGAGGATCTCACTACTGATACCGAAATATGGTAGGAGACCCAGGAGGACCCCACTGCTGACACCGAAATATGGTAGGAGACCCAGGAGGACCCCACTGCTGACACCGAAATATGGTAGGAGACCCAGGAGGACCCCACTGCTGACACCGAAATATGGTAGGAGACCCAGGAGGACCCCACTGCTGACACCGAAATATGGTAGGAGACCCAGGAGGACCCCACTGCTGACACAGAAATATGGTAGGAGACCCAGGAGGACCCCACTGCTGACACAGAAATATGGTAGGAGACCCAGGAGGACCCCACTGCTGACACAGTAATATGGTAGGAGACCCAGGAGGACCCCACTGCTGACACAAAAATATGGTAGAAGACCCAGGAGGATCCCACTACTGACACAGAAATATGGTAGGAGACCCAGGAGGACCCCACTGCTGACACAGAAATATGGTAGGAGACCCAGGAGGAGGACCCCACTGCTGACACAGAAATATGGTAGGAGACCCAGGAGGATCCCACTACTGACACAGAAATATGGTAGGAGACCCAGGAGGACCCCACTGCTGACACCGCAATATGGTAGAAGACCCAGGAGGACCCCACTGCGGACAAAGAAATATGGTAGGAGACCCAGGAGGACCCCACTGCTGACACCGCAATATGGTAGAAGACCCAGGAGGACCCCACCGCGGACACAGAAATATGGTAGAAGACCCAGGAGGACCCCACCGCTGACACAGAAATATGGTAAGAGACCCAGGAGGACCCCACTGCTGACACAGAAATATGGTAGGAGACCCAGGAGGGCTCCACTGCTGACACAGAAATATGGAAGGAGACCCAGGAGGACCCCACTGCTGAAATAGAAATATGGAAGGAGACCCAGGAGGACCCCACTGCTGACACAGAAATATGGAAGGAGACCCAGGAGGACCCCACTGCTGACACAGAAATATGGAAGGAGACCCAGGAGGACCCCACTGCTGACACAGAAATATGGAAGGAGACCCAGGAGGACCCCACTGCTGACACCGAAATATGGTAGGAGACCCAGGAGGACCCCACTGCTGACACAGTAATATGGTAGGAGACCCAGGAGGACCCCACTGCTGACACAGAAATATGGTAGGAGACCCAGGAGGACCCCACTGCTGACACAGAAATATGGTAGGAGACCCAGGAGGACCCCACTGCTGACACAGAAATATGGTAGGAGACCCTGGAGGACCCAACTACTGACACAGAAACATAGTGGAAGTCAGATTGAAGTTTGCCAAAACTTATCTGAGGAAGCCAAAATCCTTTTGGGAGAATGTGCTGAGGACAGACGAAATCAAATGGCAGCTTTTTGGTAAAGCCCATCATTCTACTGTTTTCAGAAAAAGCAATGAGGCCTTTAAAGAAAAGAATCCAATCCCTCCAGTCACACATGGTGGGGGGGTCACTGATGTTTTGGGGTTGCTTTGCTGCTTCAGGCACTGGATGTCTTGACCGTGTGCATGGCATTATGAAATCTGAAGACCACCAAAGATTTCAGGGGTGCAATGTATGGCCCAGTGTCAGAAAGTTGGGTCTCCATCAGAGGTCATGGGTCTTCTGGCAGGACAATGACCCAAAGCACACATCAAAAAGCCCCCAGAAATGGTTTCAGACAAAGCGCTGGAGAAGACTAAACTGGCCAGCAATCTGTCCAGATCTCAATCTCACAGAGCTCCTGTGGAGAGATCTCAGAACAGCAGTTGGGAAAAGGAACCTTCCAATCTGAGAGACCTGGAGCAGTTGGCGAAAGAAGAGTACCAGTCCATTTTTGGGGTTTTGCGTGGAATGCGTCAGACTTGGCTTTTTGTGTCTACTTTTTGTGCCATACCAATGCAAACAAAATAAAGAATGCCAAAACATTTGTAATTGCAACAATTTTCTGGCCGAAGTTGCGCATTATCTGACAGAAATGCAGGGGGGACAAGATTTTTGGCCACGATGGTAAACACCATGGTCACCCTAGGTCAGGAAGTATGTTGCTGGCAGGATCAACGGCTAAAAATAAAGGAAGAAAAAAAAAATGCAACCACCACATCTAGGGACTGGCAAAGTTCCAGCTAGACTAATCTATACAAGTACAATACTCTTCAAGTCCGTTGGGGTTCATGGTGGTCTCGCTGTATGAGCTCTGCCACCACACATACAGCAAGGCATGCAGAAAAGCTGAAGGTTCTGCTCACCCTCGGTCAGGTTGGGAACAGGAAGTGCCTGTTGAAGTTGATCCAGGGGTCCGCTCAGCAGCCTGAGGTTACCGATGTGCTGGTTCATAGCTTTGTGGAGCTCGGTGTTGGTGAAGCTGGCCTTTTCATGCACCTCCATGTACTTGGTCCACTCCTTGTTTACTTCCACCACCAAAGGCGAAGAGGGAGCCACTGCCGCTGCCTGTTTTCCGACCTCCTCCTGCACCACCTTCTCCTGCTTCTCATCTTCATCTAGAAGGTCCTTGATGTCCTTCAGAGAGGCCTCCACATCGGTGTACACCCCCGACAGTACTGGAATCACACACAGACACCATTATTAACAAAAATTCCTACTCAGGATTAAAAGATGCACTCCAAGAACAAAAATATTCATTGAAATATATTCAACAGCCACAAAAAATATAAAAATATCAAAAGGGGGTTCTAGACAAACCCTAATCTAAAATAAAACATGATATCTTCTTGCAAGTTCTAAAAGGCTTAAAGCACAGGAAACGCCCCGGGCCAGATGGTTTCACGGCAAGTTATTTGCTCCGTCTCGTCCCTATTAGGACATCAGGCTTTAGCTCCAGTGACATGGACAACCCTCCCTTCAGCTCAATTCTTTAGGACCAATATTGTGATTATCCCCAAACCAGGCAAAGGCCCTCTCCGTTTGCAGCAGTTATCATCCGATTTCCCTTTTGAACGTGGACCTGAACTCTGGCCAAAGCACTAACATCCCATCGTTACCCCTTGCTTTCCTGGGTCATCCATCGAGACCAAGTGGGATTTGTCCCAGGCCTTGAGGCAAGGGATAGGAGAATACGATGAAGACTCACCATCTCTCATCTCTTACGGTCATAAATAATTAGCTTGAATTTATGACCATAGGAGAGGAGTCTTCATCATGTTCTCCTGTCCCTTGCCTCACGGCCTGGGACAAATCCCACTTGGTCTCGATAGATGACCCAAGAAAGCAAGGGGGAACGATGGGATGTTGGACCTGAACTCTGGCCAAAGCACTAACATCCATCCTTCCCCCTTGCTTTCTTGGGTCATCCATCGAGATCAAGTGGGATTTGTCCCAGGCCGTGAGGCAAGGGATAGGAGAACACAATGAAGACTCTCTATCTTTCCTCTCTTATGGTCATAAATTCAAGCTGCAGGCTTGCCTGCTATCCTTTGACGCCGAAAGGGCCTTTGATGGGATTGATTGGAGATTTCTTCACCTCTCCCTCGAACAAAATAGGCCTGGGCTAAAATTTAATCTCCAAAGTGATGTCCCTCTATCCCTTTTGAACTTGGACCTGAACTCTGGCCAAAGTTCAAAAGGGATAGAGGGACATCACTTTGGAGATTAAATTCTAGCCCAGGCCTGTTTGTTCGAGGGAGAGGTGAAGAAATCTCCAATCCATCTTAACAGGCCTGGGCTAGAATTTCATCTCCAAAATGATGTCCCTCTATCCCTTTTGAACTTTGGCCAGAGTTCAGGTCCAAGTTCAAAAGGGATAGAGGGACATCACTTTGGAGATTACATTCTAGCCCAGGCCTATTTTGTTCGAGGGAGAGGTGAAGAAATTTCCAATCCATCCTATCAAAGGCCCTTTTGTCGTCAAAAGATAGCAGGAAAGCCTGTAGCGTGAATTTATGACCGTAAAAAGAGAGTTGGAGAGTCTTCATCGTGTTCTCCTATCCTTTGCCTCACGGCCTGGGACAAATCCCACTTGGTCCCGATGGATGACCCAAGAAAGCAAGGGGGAACGATGGGATGTTAGTGCTTTGGCCAGAGTTCAGGTCCAACATCCCATCGTTCCCCCTTGCTTTCTTGGGTAATCCATCAAGACCAAGTGGGATTTGTCCCAGGCAGTGAGGCAAGGAATAGGAGAACACGATGAAGACTTTCCATCTCTCCTCTCTTAGAGTCATAAATTCACGCTACAGACTTGCCTGCTATCCTTTGACGCCGAAAGGGCCTTTGATAGGGTGGATTGGAGGTTTCTTCACCTCTCCCTTGAACAAACAGGCCTGGGCTAGAACGTCATCTCCAAAGTGATGTCCCTCTATCCCTTTTGAACTTGGACCTGAACTCTGGCCAAAGCACTAACATCCCATCGTTTCCCCTTGCTTTCTTGGGTCATCCATCGAGAGCAAGTGGGATTTGTCCCAGGCCGTGAGGCAAGGGATAGGACAGTGGTGGGCAACCTTTTTTTTCAACTGAGCCAAATCTCGCCAAAACCACGATTAAAATTTATTTTGAGAGCCACATTTTTAAAACTGAAAATACATCCCCCATATAGTAATTCATCCCCCATATAGTAATTCATCCCCCATATAGTAATTCATCCCCCATATAGTAATTCATCCCCCATAGTAATACATCCCCCATATAGTAATTCATCCCCCATAGTAATACATCCCCCATATAGTAATTCATCCCCCATAGTAATTCATCCCCCTATAGTAATTCATCCCCCCTATAGTAATTCATCCCCCCTATAGTAATTCATCCCCCCTATAGTAATTCATCCCCCATAGTAATTCATCCCCCTATAGTAATTCATCCCCCATATAGTAATTCATCCCCCATAGTAATTCATCCCCTATAGTAATACATCCCCCATATAGTAATTCATCCCCCATAGTAATTCATCCCCCTATAGTAATTCATCCCCCATATAGTAATTCATCCCCCCTATAGTAATTAATTCCCATATTGTGTCAATTCACTTAACTGTACTCCGCGCGTTCCTCTCGCCGTGTTCCCCGCGCAGTTCTGGTCTTCAGGGCGGCCTGTGAGAGGAGTTCGTCACGCTGTGCCGCCTACATCCTGACAGCCAATGTTTGCCACGCTCCGCGGGCCGGATTATAAGGTCTGCCGGGCCGTAGTTTGCCCATTGCTAGGCTAGCTGCAGAGTCCTGACTTTTGGGGCGGCCGCCCGAGAGGAGGGAGGGGAGCGGGCGCCCGGCACACAGAAGAGCTGCATTAACCTCCCTGGCGGTATGATTCCTTCCAATTTTTTGTGCTGAAAGCGGTACCATTTTTTCGCATGGAAATAGTTTTTTATTGTAGGCTGTAATTTTTAGGAAAATTTCCCCACAAATCATTATCACTCAATTCTGCAAGTGGTTCTGATTTACTATCGCTGTTCTGTAGCCGGTCTAACACCGCTTTTGACCTAAAGGGACGCTTTTTGGACGCCATGGACTTTTCTAAGTTTCCAGGCAGAAAGAACAGACAAAATGCAGGCAGGGCGCCGGACAAAGCAGTAGGGACAAAATGTATGTGAAATGGGATGAAACAGCAATGTTTTACTATTGAAAATTGAAAAAAAAAAAAAAAAAAAAAAAAGACATTTTTTAAATTTCCCGCCGCCGGCGGCGCCCGTACGTCCCGACGTCACGGGGACCGGAACACAGAAGCCGGATGCCGGCATCGGCCGGAGGAGATGGCCGGGGACGCTGCAGGGGACACATCGCGGGGAACGAAGGACAAGGTAAGTGCTGCAGGGACCCCCAGAGCAGCGCCGCATGGTAAGCCCAAGTGTAGCTCGTGGTATAGAAATTCTACCACGAGCTACACTCGGGAAAACCGCCAGGGAGGTTAAAAGAGCCGCGGCTTGCCGACCACTGAGCTACGGCAACCCTATTGCCTGTCACCTGGTGGGCAGTGTGCTCCGGAGCCGCAGCAAAGGTGAAAAAGAGCCGCATGCGGCTCTGGAGCCGCGGGTTGCCGACACCCGGGATAGGAGAACACTATGAAGACTCTCCATCTCTCACGGTCATAAATTCACGCTACAGGCTTTCCTGCTATCCTTTGATGCCGAGAGGGCCTTTGATAGGGTGGATTGGAGGTTTCTTCACCTCTCCCTCGAACAAACAGGCCTGGGCTAGAATTTCATCTCCAAAGTGATGTCCTTCTATTCCTCCCCTTCAGCTTCAGTGTTGGTTAATGGATCAGTTTCCGAACCTCTCAAGCTCTAACAGCACCCGTCAGGGATACCCCCATCTCCCCTTCTTTTTGTGATAGAACATACAATTCTTGTTATACTCACTGGGGAACCTAAGGAGTTAATCCTCCGCACTGTGTAAAAAAGCCTGTTTGATTTTGTCTCCTCTGATCCTCCCCTTCTTCCACAGTCCCCAATCCATCTGCCGATAAGTACAGAACCCTAGGAGTCACTCTGCACATGCTCAGTTTGGTGTATATTGCTAGAGATCGTTTTTTTTTTTCTTTGGAAGGGTGCATGTGATCAGCAGAGCGTCAATCAGCACTATCCAGACAGAGGGTCAAGGGGTCATGTAGGATGTAGGCGGTTGTAAACTGGCACATGTCCACCATAAAGGTGAATGGAGGGTCCAAATGGGTCAGCCTGAAAAACAGGTGGACCCAATCGCACTGATCACGTGAAAGGGGTTGAAGGCTGCTTTCAGACCGATGCGGACCCGATCGGACTGATCACGAGAGGGGTTCAAGGCTGCTTTCAGACCAATGCGAACCCGATCAGACTGATCATGAGAGGGGTCTAAGGCTGATTTCAGACCGATGTGAACCCGATCGGACTGATCACGAGAGGGGTCTAAGGCTGACCAATGCGACCAACTGATCACGAGAGGGGTCTAAGGCTGATTTCAGACCAATGCGAACCCGATCAGACTGATCACGAGAGGGGTCTAAGGCTGATTTCAGACCGATGTGAACCCGATCGGACTGATCACGAGAGGGGTCTAAGGCTGATTTCAGACCGATGTGAACCCGATCGGACTGATCACGAGAGGGGTCTAAGGCTGATTTCAGACCGATGCGAACCCAAATCGCACTGATCATGTGTAAGGGGCCTAAGGCTGCTTTCAGACCAATGCGGACCCGATCGGACTGATCACGAGAGGGGCCCAAGACTGCTTTCAGACCGATGCGGACTCTTCTGCCAACTCCATTCTCCACACTGATGCTTTGGGATGGCAGGTCGGGAACCCTCGATCTGGGCTTGCTGACCCACCATCCCAGAGCACAAGTTTGCGGACCACATCAGAGGGCTCTGTTGAGCACCCCCGCTTTTAAAGGTTCAAAACTGAAGCCCTCAACATCTCACTAACGGGAGAATCCCTTACCCAACTGAAGGCCAATTATCCATTCTGGTTGAAATCTTGGGGACTCTTACTTGGGGATAAGGATTACTGCTGATCTTCACTCCCTCAAGTACTGCTCTCTTTTCACCATTTGAAAAGATTTGGATCATTGGCTTGGTAGGGTTAACGCCCTAAAGATGGACATCCTTGGTTTGGGATGGCGGGTTGGGAACCCTCGATCTGGGCTTGCCGACCCACCATCCAAGAGCAGGAGTTTGCAGACTACATCAGAGGGCTCTGTTGGGCACCCCCCCTTTAAGCTTTAAAGGTTTAAAACTGAAGCCCTCAACATCTCACTAATCGGGAGAATCCCTTACCCAACTGAAAGCCAATTATCCAATCTGGTTCAAATCTTGGAGACAAGGAGTATTGATCTTCACTCCCTCAAGTACTGCTCTCTTCACCATTTGGAAAGATTTGGATCACTGGCTTGGTAGGGGCAATGCCCTGAAGATGGACATCCTTGGTTTGGGATGGTAGGTCGGGATCCACGATCTGGGCTTGCCGACCCAACATCCCAGAGCAGGAGTTTTTTCGTGCCACATCAGAGGGCTCTGTTGGGCACCCACACTGTAAGCGTTATAGGTTTAAAACTGAAGCCGTCAACATCTCACTATCGGGAGAATCCCTCAAGTACTGCTCTCACTTCACCATTTGGAAAGATTTGGATCACTGGCTTGGTAGGGTTAACGCCCTAAAGATGGACATCCTTGGTTTGGGATGGCGGGTCGGGAACCCTCGATCTGGGCTTGCCGACCCACCATCCCAGAGCAGGAGTTTGCGGACCACATCAGAGGGCTCTGTTGGGCACCCCCACTTTAAGCTTTAAAACTGAAAGCCCTCAACATCTCACTATTGGGAGAATCCCTTACCCAACAAAGTCCATTATCCATTCTGGTCGAAATCTTGGGGACAAGGATTACTACTGATCTTCACTCCCTCAAGTACTGCGCTCTTTTCACCATTTGGAAAGATTTGGATCATTTGCTCGGTAGGGTTAACGCCCTAAAGATGGACATCCTTGGCTTGGGATGGCGGATCAGGAACCCTCGATCTGAGCATGCCGACCCACCATCCAAGAGCAGGAGTTTTTTTCGGGCCACATCAGAGGGCTCTGTTGGGCACCCCCACTGTAAGGTTTATAGGTTTAAAAACTGAAGCCCTCAACATCTCACTATCGGGAGAATCCCTTACCCAACTGAAAGCCAATTATCCATTCTGGTTGAAATCTTGGGGACAAGGATTACTGCTGATCTTCACTCCCTCAAGTGCTGCCATCTCTTCAGCATTTGGAGATTTGGATCACTGGCTCGGTAGGGTTAACGCCCTGAAGATCGCCATCCTTGGTTTGGGATGGTAGGTCGGGAACCCTCGATCTGGGCTTGCCAACCCACCATCCCACAGCAGGAGTTTGCGGACCACATCAGAGGGCTCTGTTGGGCACCCCCACTTTAAGATTTAAAACTGAAGCCCTCAACATCTCACCATCAGGAGAATCCCTTACCCAACTGAAGGCCAATTATCCATTCTGGTTGAAATCTTGGGGACTTTCTTACTTGGGGCTCTCGTTTCACCATTTGGAATGATTTGGATCACTGGCTCGGTAGGGTTAACGCCCTGAAGATGGACATCCTTCCTGGATTATTGTAGATCTTTCAGACTATTCCAACATCAGTACCACACACCTTTTTCTGTACTCTACGCTCCCTTCGCTTTCCACTTCATTTGGAATCATAGATTCTCTAGGCTTCGTTGTGCTAAATAACTGGGTGGGGCGGGCCTCCCGGACATGTCTCATGCCTCAGCACTTGTTGGATCGATCTAACAGCGCGTCTGTTAGATTGGTTACCTAAACCACTTCCTGAAGCCTCCACCACGGTAGAACAGGATCTTCCACTGCTAGATTGTCCAGCTTTTGCCACGGTTTTGACTATGGCAGGGGTAGGCAACCTGCGGCTCTCTAGCTGTTGTGGAACTACATTTCCCATGAGGCATTGCAAAGATGACGAAAAACTGACAGTTACAGCTATGATTTGCAGAGGCATGATGGAACTTGTAGTCCTGCGGCTCTCAGGTTGCCTACCCCTGGACTAGGGCAACCCTTCGCAAATGGTATTCTATATTAGAAACTTTTCTGTCCTTGGACCAGAGCCCCCTGACCTCGCCCTTTGACAACCCTGCCTTCACGCCTGGCCACGGAGGCCACTTTTTATAGGTCCGCCTGGCCTGCAGCGAGGTCCTTTATTCAACCTTGATTCGGCTTTCCTGTATTTCCCACAAATGAAATAAAATATATAAACAGAAAAAAATCTAAATCTAAAATTAAATTAAAATAAAATAAATCTAAAAAAAACAAACAAAAAAATATGTTTAGATTGTAAGCTCCCAGGATCAGGGCCCTCCTATCCCTCTTGTATTAAACTATATTGTCTCCCTTTATATTGTAAAGCGCTAAGCAAACTGTTGGCGTTATATAAATCCTGTATAATAATAATGCAATAAAATAAATCAATAAAAATAAAATAGGCGATTAAAAAATATAAAAACACAAAATAAATCTAAAAACAAATAAAAAAGAAGCAATGAATAATCAAATAAAAAAATAAATGATAAAAAAAAAAAAAAAAAAAAAAAAAAAAAAAAAAAAAAAAAGCAGAAAATAAATCTAATTTTAAAATAAAACAAACAATGAAAAAATATGCTTAGATTGTAAGCTCCCAGGATCAGGGCCCTCCCTTCCCTCTTGTATTGAACTGTATTGTTGCTGTATTGTCTCCCGTTATTTTGTAAAGCGCTGAGCAAACTGTTGGTGCTATACAAATCCTGTATAATAATAATGCAATAAAATAAATAAAAATAAAAAAACAGGTGATTAAAAAAAAATATAAAAAAAACTCAAAATAAATCTAAAAACAATGCAAAAAAAAAAAAAAAAAAAAAAAAAAAAAAAAAAAAAAAAAGCAATGAATAAAATAATTCCTAGATTGTAAGCTCTAACGAGTCGGGCCCCCTGTTTCCTCTTGTACCAAATGGTATTGTAGTAACTGCTGGTGCTATATGAATCCTGTATAATAATAATAATAATAATAATAATATAATAATATCAAATTAAAATGATAAAAAAAATAAGCAGAAAATAAACCTAAAATAAAACAATAAGCAACAAAAAAATAAAATAAGCAACAAAATAGAATAAAACAAGTAATGCAACAAATAAAATAAAATAAAAATATATTAAAAATCAGTAATAAAAAAATAAATAAAAATAAGATCATCAGCAATAAATATAAAATTTAGCAATTTTCCAGCAAGATTGTTAAAACGTTATAAAAAGGCAAACCGTATAATCAGAAAAGGAGCGCCATTATAATGGTATGATACTGCCAATCACTGGCACCCAGCCGGCACTTACCCTGCATAGACTGTACCAGACTCTTCACGGTGTCCGGCCGCACGCTCAGCGCTGCGCACTTCTCCATCAGGGCCGGAGGGATGTGGCCGTACATGTCCAGATTGTCCACCGTGTCCGGATCGAGCTGCAGAGAGTCTGTGAACTGACTGCGAGGTAGGAAGCGGACAGCCAATGGTGACAAAAGTTCCGCTTAATAAAAGGACCCGCCCCCTTTCCCTCCTTCCCCAATAAAGGACCCGCCCCCTTTCCCTCCTTCCCCAATAAAGGACCCTCCCCCTTACCCTCCCCCCAATAAAGGACCCTCCCCCCCAATAAAGGACCCTCCCCCCCAATAAAGGACCCTCCCCCCCAATAAAGGACCCTCTCATTTTTCCCTCCCCCCCAAAATAAAGGAACCTCCCCCTTTCCCTCCCCCCCAATAAAGGATCCCCCCATGTTCAGGTCACATACTCACTCCAGGACTTCATTCTTGGCCTCTATTTTGGACATCATGTCTCGCAGCAGCTTGGCTTTCTCTTCGCTGGAAATCAATGAATCAAAAGCAGCCACGATTATAAATACACATCAACAAAAACCACCTCATTTCCTGCCCGGAGGACACCCAGCATTATCTAGCTCTTTCCTCCCAAGCCCGACAGGCCCCGCTCATTTCATTCATTGGATCTCAGTACTTTCAATCACGGAGGATCAGCATCACATACAGTGGGGATGGAAAGTTTGGGCACCCCAGCTAAAAATGTGTATTAATGTGCATAAAGAAGCCAAGGAAAGATGGAAAAGTCTCCAAAAGGCATCAAATTACAGATTAGACATTCTTATAATATGTCAACAAAAGTTAGATTTTATTTCCATCATTTACACTTTCAAAATAACAGAAAACAAAAAAATGGCGTCTGCAAAAGTTTGGGCCCCCTGCAGAGTTAATATCTTGTACTGCCCCCTTTGGCAAGTATCACAGCTTGTAAACGCTGTTTGTAGCCAGCCAAGAGTCTTTCAATTCTTGTTTGAGGTATCTTTGCCCATTCTTCCTTACAAAAGTCTTCCAGTTCTTTGAGATTTCTGGGCTGTCTGTCACGCACGGCTCTTTTAAGGTCTATCCATAGATTTTCAATGATGTTGAGGTCAGGAGATTGTGAAGGCCATGGCAAAACCTTCAGTTTACGCCTCTTGATGTAATCCCCCGTGGATTTCCAGGTGTGTTTAGGATCATTATCCATTTGTAGAAGCCATCCTCTCTTTAACTTCAGCTTTTTCACAGATGGCATCAAGTTACCATCCAAAATTTGCTGAAATTTTATTGAATCCATTTTTCCTTCTACTCGTGAGATGTTCCCTGTGCCACTGGCTGCAACACAACCCCAAAGCATGATTGATCCAACCCCATGCTTCACAGTTGGACAGAGGTTCTTTTCATTCAATTCTGTGCCCCTTCTTCTCCAAACGTACCTTTGCTCATTCTGGCCAAAAAGTTCAATTTTAACCTCATCGGTCCACAGAACTTGTTTCCAAAATGCATCAGGCTTGTCTATATGTTCATTTGCAAAGTTCAAACGATGATTTTTGTGGTGAGGACGTAGAAGAGGTTTTCTTCTGATGACTCTTCCATGAAGACCATATTTGTACAAGTATCTCTTTATAGTGGAATAGTGACCACAACTCCAGTGTCTGCCAGATCTTTCTGGAGGGATCGTGCAGTCAAACGTGGGTTTTGAATGGTTTTTTTCACAATCCTGCGAGCTGTTCGGTCTGATATTTTTCTTGGTCTTCCAGATCTTGCTTTAACTTCCACTGTTCCTGATGACTGCCATTTCTTAATTACATTCCGAACAGAGGATATTGACATCTGAAAACGCTTTGCTATCTTCTTATAGCCTTCTCCAGCTTTGTGAGCATCAACTATTTTCAGTTTCAGTTTTCTAGACAACTGCTTAGAAGAACCCATGGTGCTGATTGTTGGGGCAAGGTCAGATGAGTCTGGGCATTTAAAACCTTTGAGATTGACATCACCTGGTCTTCCCAGACGATGATTGAGAACAATCCATGACACTGGCAGGTCTCAGCTTGGCAAAGGGGGCAGTGCATGCTATAAATTATGCAGGGTGCCCAAACTTTTGCAGACGCCATTTTTTTGTTTTCTGTTATTTTGAAAGTGTAAATGATGGAAATAAAATCTAACTTTTGTTGACATATTATAAGAATGTCTAATCTGTAATTTGATGCCTTTTGGAGATTTTTCCATCTTTCCTTGGCTTCTTTATGCACATTAATACAAATTTTTAGCTGGGGTGCCCAAACTTTTGATCCCCACTGTATGGGCATTACCTAGATCTACATGCAAATCGGCCTAGACACGCCCACTCCTCCAGGTTGACGCCCACCCGTCAGACATTTTGATATTTGCATAACTCTTCCCAAGTGCCAGTCCGCTTGTGGTCAACCCTTCCCCTTGCCGTGATCTGCTTGCACTGCATAGGGAAGCACACAGACCCACTGATGATGAATTAGGTATTTTGTATAAACTGAAGGGTTTTTATTTTTTTTCTTGAAGCAGAATTATCTTTATTGGCAATACACAGACACAGCTTGGCACATCTTGTATCTGACAGTAATCAGGAGTCAGTGAGGGGTGGGAGAGAGAGAGGAGCTTTATTAGCACCCCAAGAGCAGGGTTCTGCCTGCCTTTCTGGAAACGCCATGATTGTTGGCTGGATCCAATCCGAGCTTCTATGCTGAGGTATTGCCCCTTATACAGTGAAGGAAATGTGTATTTGCCCCCCCGGCTGATGCTGAACATTCGCCCCTCACACAGAAATGATCGGTCTAACAATGGAATGTTCGCCCCTCACACAGAAACGATCGGTCTAACAATGGAATGTTCGCCCCTCACACAGAAATGATCGGTCTAACAATGGAATGTTCGCCCCTCACACAGAAATGATCGGTCTAACAATGGAATGTTCGGTGTAACACAGAGACAGCATACAACAACAAATTCAGCAGAAATGTGTCTAACAAATGATGACGGATCTGCATGTTCATGAGGGAAAGAAGGATTTGATCCCCTATCATTCAGCAGGATTTCTGGCTCCCAGGTGTCTCTCATACAGTTAACAAGCTGAGATTAGAAGCAGTCTCTTAAAGGGAGTGCTGCTAATCTCATTGTGTTACCTGTATAAAAGACACCTGTCCACAGGAGCCATCAAACCATCAGATTCCAAATCTCTCCACCATGGCAAAGACCAAAGAGCTGTCCAAGGATGTCAGGGACAAGATGGTAGACCTACACAAGGCTGGACTGGGCTACCAAACTATGGCCAAGCAGCTTGGTGAGAAGGTGACAACAGTTGGTGCAATCATTCACAAATGGAAGAAACACAAAACAAGTGTCAGTCTCCCTAGGTCTGGTGCACCATGCAAGATCTCACCTCGTGGAGTGTCAATGATCATGAGAACAGTGAGGAATCATCCCAGAACTACACGTGAGGATCTTGTCAATGATCTCCAGGCAGCTGGGACCACAGTCACCAAGAAAACAATTGGTAACACACTACGCCGACAAGGACTGAAATCCTGCAGTGCCCGCAAGGTCCCTCTGCTCAAGAAAGCACATGTCCAGGCCCGTCTGAAGTCTGCCACTGAACATCTGAATGATGCAGAGGAGGACTGGTGGGAAGTGTTGTGGTCAGATGAGACCAAAATCCAGCTCTTTGGCATCAACTCAACTCGCCGTGTTTGGAGGAGGAATGCTGCCTATGACCTCAAGAACACCATCCCAACTGTGAAACATGGTGGTGGAAACATTCTGCTTTGGGGGTGGTTTTCTGCTATGGGGACAGGACAACTGCACCGCATGAAAGGGGTGATGGACGGGGCAATGTACCCTCAAATCTTGGGTGAGAACCTTCTTCCCTCAGCCAGGGCATTGAAAATGGGTGGTGGATGAGTGTTCCAGCATGACAATGACCCAAAACACACGGCCAAGGCAACAAAGGAGCGGCTCATGAAGAAGCACATTAAGGTCCTGGAGTGGCCTAGCCAGTCTCCAGACCTTCATCCGATTGAAAATCTGTGGAGGGAGATGAAAGTTCGAGTTGCCAAACATCAGCCACCAAACCTTAAGGACTTGGAGAGGATCTGCCAAGAGGAGTGGGCAAAAATCCCTCCTGAGATGTGTGCGAACCTGGGGGCCAACTCCAGGAAACGTCTGACCTCTGTGATTGCCAACAAGGGATTGGCCACCAAGTACTAAGTCATGTTTTGTGAAGGGGATCCAATCCTTCTTTCCCTCATGAACATGCAGATCAGTCATCATTTGTTAGACGCATTTCTGCTGAATTTGTTGTTGTATTCTGTCTCTCAGTGTTACACCGAACATTCCATTGTTAGATCGATCATTTCTGTGTGAGGGCGAACATTCCATTGTTAGACCGATCATTTCTGTGTGTGAGGGGCGAACATTCAGCATCAGAGGGGAGCAAATACACATTTCCTTCCCTGTAGAGAGATGAATACGAGGCAACCATGATGGGCGATTGTCCAGAACTGGAACATCTTGTCCCCTGGATCATATGGTTCAGTTCGTGCCGGGAGTTTCACTCACCTGTATAGAGAGGAAGCCTCGTGTGCCGCCATTGGAACCAGCTTGGAGAAGATATCGGGTCCGGTCACAGCGGGGTCAGTGGGGTTCACAGGAAGAGCCTTTACTAACGGGGCCCCTGGGGAGCCAGAACACAGAACATGAGACCAGATTTCTTTTTTTCAAAAGGTCACTACAATCTAAATTGGTATTTTAGTGTTTGGTGGATTCCTGTGCTGGGTTCTCAAGTCTGTACCCCCGCTGTGCCCATTATGAAGGGTTCCCACCATCCCTGTGCTGAGTTCCCGAGTCTGTACGCCTGTTGTGCCCATTATGAGGGGTTCCCACCATCCCTGTGCTGAGTTCCTGGGTCTAGTACACCCGCTGTGCCCATTATGAGGGTGTTCCCACCACCCCTGCGCTGAGTTCCCGGGTTTTGTATGTCTGCTGTGCCCATTATGAGGGGTTCCCACCATCCCTGTGCTGAGTTCCCGGGTTTGTACACCTGCTGTGCCCATTATGAGGGGTTCCCACCATCCCTGTGCTGAGTTCCCGAGTCTGTGGAACAGACCATTATTCCTCATTAATCAGACCAATAAGACCTCTCCAATCACGGCACCTTTCACAGCCTGCAGGGTGTCCAGGGCAGGGACGGACTCGTGGTAGATGAAATCGTTGTCTTTCTTGGCAGAGTTGAACCTGTGATGAGGAAGAGGTCACATGACGGTTACTCAGTACTGGAAGATAAAGAATCATATTGGTGTTCTGCCCACACAAGAGATCATAGACGTTCTCCTGGAAAGACAATCCCTACGGTCAATACAGATCTCCTGTCATCCTCATAGACCAGCCGCTCTCAGCCTTTGGCGGCCAGTCAAGAGCTCCCCTTCCCTTGGCGGCCAGTCAAGACCTCCCCTTCCCTTGGCGGCCAGTCAAGAGCTCCCCTTCCCTTGGCGGCCAGTCAAGAGCTCCCCTTCCCTTGGCGGCCAGTCAAGGGCTCCCCTTCCCTTGGCGGCCAGTCAAGGGCTCCCCTTCCCTTGGCGGCCAGTCAAGGGCTCCCCTTCCCTTGGCGGCCAGTCAAGGGCTCCCCTTCCCTTGGCGGCCAGTCAAGGGCTCCCCTTCCCTTGGCGGCCAGTCAAGGGCTCCCCTTCCCTTGGCGGCCAGTCAAGGGCTCCCCTTCCCTTGGCGGACAGTCAAGAGCTCCCCTTCCCTTGGCGGCCAGTCAAGAGCTCCCCTTCCCTTGGCGGCCAGTCAAGAGCTCCCCTTCCATTGGCGGACAGTCAAGAGCCCCCTTCCATTGGCGGCCAGTCAAGAGCCCCCTTCCATTGGCGGCCAGTCAAGAGCCCCCTTCCATTGGCGGCCAGTCAAGAGCCCCCTTCCATTGGCGGCCAGTCAAGAGCCCCCTTCCATTGGCGGACAGTCAAGAGCCCCCTTCCATTGGCGGACAGTCAAGAGCCCCCTTCCATTGGCGGACAGTCAAGAGCCCCCTTCCATTGGCGGCCAGTCAAGAGCCCCCTTCCATTGGCGGCCAGTCAAGAGCCCCCTTCCATTGGCGGCCAGTGACGAGCTCCCTTCCATTGGCGGCCAGTGACGAGCTCCCTTCCATTGGCGGCCAGTGACGAGCTCCCTTCCATTGGCGGCCAGTGACGAGCTCCCTTCCATTGGCAGCCAGCGAAGAACTCCCTTCCATTGGTGGCCACTGGGAGAGGGGCCCACTTAATCTAGTGGTCAGTGGGAATTCCCTCCTTGCAGACACCTATAAAAAAAAAAAATCACTGGAGGAGCTTTTTTTTGGTACATTTAGCCCTGCTGTGGGCAAGCAGCAGGGCTTGTCAGGTGGAAGCATTGCTTCCACACACTGCACTAGTGCCATCCCCCGGCACTCACCTTTTACCCCCATTATGTTACCCCAGGCTCCGCTTGCCCATCTGCGGGCCCGGGACCGATGTAGCAGGGTGTCTGCTGGTAGAGGGGATGGAGAAAAGCGGACACATGTCCTGACCTGGAAATGACGTCTGGGTCCATGTTGACAGATTTCCCGGCCATCAAAGCATGGTTGTAATGCAGTGCGATATGCACTGCATTACATTCAATGGAGCCAGAGGAGACATTTGGGGTCTTTTAGATCCCAGATGTCTCATTAAAGAGAACCTGTCACCAAAAAATCATCACATAGGGGACTTTTTTATTACAGGTTTATTAAAAAAGTCAGCAGCTCCAGTTTTTAATTTTTTTTTTTTTTCCCCCCACAGAAGATTGGAGCTCCTCTTTTAGATGGCCACAAATTCTAAGGGGAGTTTTTCAAAGTGATTTATCAGCAAAAGCATGGATGGATTTGTTTTGAATATTAATCGCTTCCCGGCCACCCTACAACAGAAATACTGCTACAAGGCGGAACGGTTGTGCAAAATCACTTACATATACTACTATACTATGTACTACGGCCCCTACCCGTGCCGCCATTCGCAGCCGTGGCTGTCAATCACCAGGTCCCGACCGGCAATTACTCGCCGGCGCCCAGTGATTTACGAAGATCTGACGGGGAGGAGGACTGTTTTGTTTGCTAACAGTTCTCCTCCCGGTCAGCTCGGGCACACTGCACAGCCATCCACAGCAGTGTGATTACAGTGAAGCATACACCCCCCCCTCCTGCCCCCTAGTAAAACACTCCCTGCGCACAGGTAACCCTTTGATCGCCCCTCATGTTAACCCTTTCCTGCCCAGTATCATTAGTACAGTGTCAGTGCTTTTTTTTTTTTTTAGTACTGATCACTGTATTGGTGTCACTGGGGATGTCTGACACCAAGTCAGTTCCCCCCCCCCCCCCTCCCCACCAGTGTCAGAATGTCTGCCGCAGTCTCGCTATAAGTTGCTGATTGCCGCCATTACTAGTAAGGGTAAAAAATAAATCCCCGTATCTATACCGCCATTTGTAAACACTATAACTTTCACGTAAACCAATTAATTTACACGGATTGGGTATGGTGTGTGTACTGCACTTCAAAGATTTACAGGGGCACTCTGATGGGCACATACTACGGGAAAAGGGCACTCTGATGGACACCCGTGATGAAAAGGGGCACTGATGGGAACACATGATGTGATGGGGACAACCTATGTAAGGGGTCACTGATGGGGGAACCCTATGCAATGGGGCACTCTGATGGGAGACACCAAATGTAATTGGGCCTTCTAAAACAAGAAACCTGATGTAAGTGGGCACTGTGATGGGGGACAACTGATGTAAAGGGGCACCATGATGGGGACAACCAATGTACTCTGCTGGGGGCAACTGATGTAAGGGGGCACTCTGATGGGGGCAACTGATGTAAGGGGGCACAGTAATGGGAGACACCAGATGTAATGGGGCCTTCTAAAGCAAGAAACCTGATGTAAGTGGGCGCTCTGATGGGGACACCTGATGTAAAGGGGCACCGTGATGGGGACACCTGATGTAAAGGGGCACCGTGATGGGGACACCTGATGTAAAGGGGCACCGTGATGGGGACACCTGATGTAAAGGGGCACCGTGACGGGGACACCTGATGTAAAGGGGCACCGTGACGGGGACACCTGATGTAAAGGGGCACCGTGACGGGGACACCTGATGTAAAGGGGCACCGTGATGGGGACACCTGATGTAAAGGGGCACCGTGATGGGGACACCTGATGTAAAGGGGCACCGTGATGGGGACACCTGATGTAAAGGGGCACCGTGATGGGGACACCTGATGTAAAGGGGCACCGTGATGGGGACACCTGATGTAAAGGGGCACCGTGATGGGGACACCTGGTGTAAAGGGGCACCGTGATGGGGACACCTGATGTAAAGGGGCACCGTGATGGGGACACCTGATGTAAAGGGGCACCGTGATGGGGACAACTGATGTACACTGCTAGTGACACCTGATGTGAGGTGGCGCTATGATGGGGACATCCTATGTAAGGTGTCACTGTGATGGGGGGGAATCTTATATAATGGGGCACTCTGATGGGGACAACCGATGTAAGGGGGCACAGTAACAGGAGACACCAGATGCAAGGAGGGCTTCTGATCCAGAAATCTGATGTAAGTGGGCTCTTTGACGGGAATACCTGCGGTAAAGCGGCACTGTGGTAAAACCATCCTAGCTCCAACTGTCCACATGTTTAATGTCGTAACTGAAACTCGACAATAAATATTGTTGAAATGCTATGGAAACTGTACATGGCTTTTTTTTTTTTTTTTTTTTTTTTTTTACATACAGTGACTACAATCTTTCTGAGTCTTTGTACAAACTTGAGATTTGGACCTCGGCTGGAAGAAAATTTTATAGTGACCGGACCCTCCTTAAATTTGAATCCAATACCTCTGCTCCATACACACCCAACCACTGAGACAGTTTACCTCCCACGATTCTGCAAATTACACCGAGGGGTGTGAACGATTACAGAAGAAAATCGGTTTTCGTCTTTGAACTTACTTTCCTCCAATCACATCCATGGTGAAGCGCAGAGCTTCCTGGACGGTGGACGGCTGACCCTGCAGAAGAGGGAGATGGTGGTAAGTAGAAGGCGGGGAGGTTCACAGACAACACGTCCACCATCCTGGTGATGCATCCTGGCGGACAACACGTCCACCATCCTGGTGATGCATCCTGGCGGACAACACGTCCACCATCCTGGTGATGCATCCTGGCGGACAACACGTCCACCATCCTGGTGATGCATCCTGGCGGACAACACGTCCACCATCCTGGCGATGCATCCTGGCGGACAACACGTCCACCATCCTGGTGATGCATCCTGGCGGACAACACGTCCACCATCCTGGTGATGCATCCTGGCGGACAACACGTCCACCATCCTGGTGATGCATCCTGGCGGACAACACGTCCACCATCCTGGTGATGCATCCTGGCGGACAACACGTCCACCATCCTGGTGATGCATCCTGGCGGACAACACGTCCACCATCCTGGTGATGCATCCTGGCGGACAACACGTCCACCATCCTGGTGATGCATCCTGGCGGACAACACGTCCACCATCCTGGTGATGCATCCTGGCGGACAACACGTCCACCATCCTGGTGATGCATCCTGGCGGACAACCCGTCCACCATCCTGGTGATGCATCCTGGCGGACAACACGTCCACCATCCTGGTGATGCATCCTGGCGGACAACACGTCCACCATCCTGGTGATGCATCCTGGCGGACAACACGTCCACCATCCTGGTGATGCATCCTGGCGGACAACACGTCCACCATCCCGGTGATGCATCCTGGCGGACAACACGTCCACCATCCCGGTGATGCATCCTGGCGGACAACACGTCCACCATCCCGGTGATGCATCCTGGCGGACAACACGTCCACCATCCCGGTGATGCATCCTGGCGGACAACACGTCCACCATCCTGGTGATGCATCCTGGCGGACAACATGTCCACCATCCTGTTGATACGAGAACACGCAGAAGATGGAATGTGATCCCTCTTACCTTGGACAGTTTTACAGCTTCGCTGAGTTTGTCTAGAGCGCTCTGCAGATAGGCGACCTGTGGGTGGGAAAAGGAAACCATGAAACACAGCAAGTCAGAAACCGTCGGTGTGTCCACATCATAGGTCAGGGGATCCAAGGACAGAATATTGTACGAGTCTGGGTGAAATTCAAGCAGGGATCGGCGGAGAATGATTTTACCGATCGGTCACTATTCTACAGTCAGTGGTGGGTTGTGCAAAACATGCCGGACAGGTAGGACATAGAGGGGGGACCCGTGTACTCGCCTGCTCTCCGTACTTCTGCTGCTCCTCTGCCTGTTTTCCCATGTGCAGCTGTGAAAAGATGGAAAAAAAAAAAAAAACCCAGAAGATCATCACTGGAATCGTTTAGGAAAAAATCCCATAAAGATCTAAAAAGGTTCCCTGAGGATTCCTCATTATTATTATTATTATTATAATACAGTATTTATAAAGCTCCAACAGTTCGCTCAGTGCTGTACATTACAATGGGAGACAGAACATGTGACAGAACAATAACAATACAATGCAATACACGAGGGGTTCGAGGGCCCTGCTCCTTGGAGCTTACAATCTAGGAGGGAGGGGATAATGGTACAGGAGGAAATAGCTGTGGGGGATGGAGTGGTAGGAAGAGTGGAGGAGGTCGGCAATTAGCTGGGGGTGAGGTAGGCTTCCCTGAAGAGGTGGGCTTTCAGGGTGCGCCTAAAGGAGAGGAGAGTAGGTGCTAGTCTGATGGATTGGGGTAGGGAGTTCCAGAGGATGGGTGATGCCCTGGGGAAGTCCTGTAGGCGGGCATGGGAGGAGGAGACCAGAGAACTAGAGAGAAGGAGGTCTTGTGAGGAGCGGAGTGTGCGTGTTGGGTGGTACCTGGATACCAGGTCGGTGATGTAACTTGGGGCAGTATGATGAACAGCTTTGTACGTCAGTGTTAGGATTTTGAATTTGATCCGTTGGGCAATCGGAAGCCAGTGGAGGGATTAGCAGAAGGGGGTGGCGGAAACTGAGCGGTTGGTAAGGTGGATGAGTCTGGCTGCCGTATTCAGTATTTGTATTCAATGTCATCCTGAAGAGCTTCTTCAAGAACATTCAACCAGAATCGTAGATCAGTCTGGGGCAAAAGGTTCCCTGAGGATTCCTCAATCAATGTCATTCTGAAGAGGTTCTTCAAGAACATTCAACCAGAATCGTAGATCAGTCTGGGGCAAAAGGTTCCCTGAGGATTCCTCATTCAATGTCTTTCTGAAGAGGTTCTTCAAGAACATTCAACCAGAATCGTAGATCAGTCTGGGGCAAAAGGTTCCCCGAGGATTCCTCAATGTCATTCTGAAGAGGTTCTTCAAGAACATTCAACCAGAATCGTAGATCAGTCTGGGGCAAAAGGTTCCCTGAGGATTCCTCAATCAATGTCATTCTGAAGAGGTTCTTCAAGAACATTCAACCAGAATCGTAGATCAGTCTGGGGCAAAAGGTTCCCTGAGGATTCCTCATTCAATGTCTTTCTGAAGAGGTTCTTCAAGAACATTCAACCAGAATCGTAGATCAGTCTGGGGCAAAAGGTTCCCCGAGGATTCCTCAATGTCATTCTGAAGAGGTTCTTCAAGAACATTCAACCAGAATCGTAGATCAGTCTGGGGCAAAAGGTTCCCTGAGGATTCCTCATTCAATGTCATTCTGAAGAGGTTCTTCAAGAACATTCAACCAGAATCGTAGATCAGTCTGGGGCAAAAGGTTCCCTGAGGATTCCTCATTCAATGTCATTCTGAAGAGGTTCTTCAAGAACATTCAACCAGAATCGTAGATCAGTCTGGGGCAAAAGGTTCCCTGAGGATTCCTCATTCAATGTCTTTCTGAAGAGGTTCTTCAAGAACATTCAACCAGAATCGTAGATCAGTCTGGGGCAAAAGGTTCCCCGAGGATTCCTCAATGTCATTCTGAAGAGGTTCTTCAAGAACATTCAACCAGAATCGTAGATCAGTCTGGGGCAAAAGGTTCCCTGAGGATTCCTCATTCAATGTCATTCTGAAGAGGTTCTTCAAGAACATTCAACCAGAATCGTAGATCAGTCTGGGGCAAAAGGTTTCCCGAGGATTCCTCAATGTCATTCTGAAGAGGTTCTTCAAGAACATTCAACCAGAATCGTAGATCAGTCTAGGGCAAAAGGTTCCCCGAGGATTCCTCAATGTCATTCTGAAGAGGTTCTTCAAGAACATTCAACCAGAATCGTAGATCAGTCTGGGGCAAAAGGTTTCCCTGAGGATTCCTCATTCAATGTCATTCTGAAGAGGTTCTTCAAGAACATTCAACCAGAATCGTAGATCAGTCTGGGGCAAAAGGTTCCCTGAGGATTCCTCATTCAATGTCATTCTGAAGAGGTTCTTCAAAAACATTCAACCAGAATTGTAGATCAGTCTAGGGCAGGGGTGGGCAACTGTGGCCCTCCAGCTGTTGTAGAACTACAAGTCCCATGAGGCATTGCAAAACTGACAGTTAAAAGCTTGACTCCTAAAAAGCAGAGGCATGATTGGACTTGTAGTTCACCAACAGCTGGAGGGCCACAGTTGCCCACCCCTGGTCTAGGGCAAAGTAGTAAATCCATAAAAAAAACATTTAGTAGGTCCTCCTACGGGGCTGTGGATCCGATCTCTGTAGTCTACCCCCCTCGGCAAAAGTCAACAACATACTCCCAGACATGTTCCCCATAGCAGATGGGACCAGGCATGGCTACCCCCCTCCCGACTCAAATCTGGAAACAACCTAGGTCACCCATGTTAAAGCACTGGTCTCGAAAGAATAAATATCATGCTTCTGGAAAACGTGACTAGCTTCCTCCAAGACACCAACACAAAATTTTGGAAAACAGGTGTGCCTCGGTTTACGAACGCCTCGGTTAACGTCATTTTCTGTTTGGCAATGAAAATCCACTGAAAATAAACGCCTCGGTTTACAAATTTTTTTTCGCAATACGAAGTGTATGTCGGTGCCAATTTTTAAATGCAATTGCTAGGTTTTTTTTTCCGTCACTATAGCTCACAGAATGAGCTGTCACTTTCCCTGGAGCTAAAGGAAACATTGTTTCTTTTAACTCGGTTTTCTTTTAGCCGGCGGGAAGTGACAGCGAATCCTGTGAGCTATAGTGAAAAAAAAAAAAAAAAAAAAAAAAAAAAAAAAAAAAGCTGAAAAAAAAACCGGCACTGACATATAGTGACAGTGACTGTTTTTTTTACTTTTTTTTCTGACCTCCGGAACGGATTAATTGGTTTTCACTGCATTCCTATGGGAAACCGCGTTTTGGTTTACGAATGAAAATCCACTGAAAACGCCTCGGTTTTTTTTTTTTTTCCCGTCACTATAGCTCACAGAATGAGCTGTCACTTTCCCTACAGCTAAAGGAAACTTTGTTTCTTTTAACTTGGTTTTCTTTTAGCTGGGGGGAAAGTGACAGCTGATTCTGTGAGCTATAGTGAAGAAAAAAAAAAGCCAAAAAACTGGCATTGACCTATAGTGACAGTGACTTTTTTTTTTTTTTACTGTTTTCTGACCTCCAGAATGGATTAATTGGTTTTCACTGCATTCCTATGGGAAACCGCGTTTCTTTTAAGAAACAAAAAGGAAACATTGTCTCTTAACTCTGTTTTCTTTTAGCTGGGGGGGGGGGGGGGGGGAAGTGACAGCTGATTCTCTGAGCTATAGTGAAGAAAAAAAAAAAAAACCAACACTGACAGTGACATTTTATTTTACTTTTTTCTGACCTCCGGAACGCAATAATTGGTTTTCAATGCATTCCTATGGGAAACCGCGATTCGATTTACAAAACTTTTTCACAATATGAAACGTCCTGGAGAACGCATTAAATTCGTAACCTGAGGTACGCCTGTACTTGGTTTTCCTGAGCGGAATACAAAACCACAGATGACTACAAACAACAATTTTGACCACCTTTACCACTTTCCTATCTTCTCTCCCCCCCCCAATAGCAGCCGTAAGCTGGTTTGCTGGGAGGGGCACCAGAGGGTTTCTACCCTTTTATCCAAAAATCACATTTCCCAACTTGGGCAGAAACTGGCGGTCGTATTGAAGTCATATTTGGGAAATGTACGGAAAAACTGGCGGTCGTATTGATGTCCAACTCTGACATCAATACGACCGCAGTTTCCACACATTTCCCAGCACGGATATCAATACGACCGCCAGTTTCCGCCCATTTCCCAACGCGGACTTCAATACGACCGCCAGTTTCCACACATTTCCCAGCACGGATATCAATACGACCGCCAGTTTCCACACATTTCCCAGCACGGATATCAATACGACCGCCAGTTTCTGCCCATTTCCCAATCCGGACTTCAATACGACCGCCAGTTTCTGCCCATTTCCCAACGCGGACTTCAATACGACCGCCAGTTTCTGCCCATTTCCCAACTGGGGGCATCAATACGACCGCCAGTTTCCGCCCATTTCCCAACGCGGACTTCAATACGACCGCCAGTTTCCGCCCATTTCCCAACGCGGACTTCAATACGACCGCCAGTTTCCACACATTTCCCAACTCTGACATCAATACGACCGCCAGTTTCCACACATTTCCCAACTCTGACATCAATACGACCGCCAGTTTCTGCCCATTTCCCAACGCGGACTTCAATACGACCGCCAGTTTCCACACATTTCCCAGCACGGACTTCAATACGACCGCCAGTTTCTGCCCATTTCCCAATGCGGACTTCAATACGACCGCCAGTTTCTGCCCATTTCCCAACGCGGACTTCAATACGACCGCCAGTTTCCACACATTTCCCAACTCTGACATCAATACGACCGCCAGTTTCTGCCCGAGTTGGGAAATGTGTGGAAACTGGCGGTCGTATTGAAGTCCGCGTTGGGAAATGGGCAGAAACTGGCGGTCGTATTGAAGTCCGCGTTGGGAAATGGGCAGAAACTGGCGGTCGTATTGAAGTCCGCGTTGGGAAATGGGCAGAAACTGGCGGTCGTATTGAAGTCCGCGTTGGGAAATGGGCAGAAACTGGCGGTCGTATTGAAGTCCGCGTTGGGAAATGGGCAGAAACTGGCGGTCGTATTGAAGTCCGCGTTGGGAAATGGGCAGAAACTGGCGGTCGTATTGAAGTCCGCGTTGGGAAATGGGCAGAAACTGGCGGTCGTATTGAAGTCCGCGTTGGGAAATGGGCAGAAACTGGCGGTCGTATTGAAGTCCGCGTTGGGAAATGGGCAGAAACTGGCGGTCGTATTGAAGTCCGCGTTGGGAAATGGGCAGAAACTGGCGGTCGTATTGAAGTCCGCGTTGGGAAATGGACAGAAACTGGCGGTCGTATTGAAGTCCGCGTTGGGAAATGGGCAGAAACTGGCGGTCGTATTGAAGTCCGCGTTGGGAAATGGGCAGAAACTGGCGGTCGTATTGAAGTCCGCGTTGGGAAATGGGCGGAAACTGGCGGTCGTATTGAAGTCCGCGTTGGGAAATGTGCGGAAACTGGCGGTCGTATTGAAGTCCCAGTTGGGAAATGGACAGAAACTGGCGGTCCTATTGAAGTCCCAGTTGGGAAATGTGTGGAAACTGGCGGTCGTATTGAAGTCCCAGTTGGGAAATGGACAGAAACTGACGGTCCTATTGAAGTCCCAGTTGGGAAATGGACAGAAACTGGCGGTCCTATTGAAGTCCCAGTTGGGAAATGGACAGAAACTGGCGGTCCTATTGAAGTCCCAGTTGGGAAATGGACAGAAACTGGCGGTCCTATTGAAGTCCCAGTTGGGAAATGGACAGAAACTGGCGGTCCTATTGAAGTCCCAGTTGGGAAATGGACAGAAACTGGCGGTCCTATTGAAGTCCCAGTTGGGAAATGGACAGAAACTGGCGGTCCTATTGAAGTCCCAGTTGGGAAATGGACAGAAACTGGCGGTCCTATTGAAGTCCCAGTTGGGAAATGGGCAGAAACTGGCGGTCATATTGAAAACAGTGTGATGTGGTGCAGGAAACGCAAAGGGACCGCCGAGTTTCCTGCACCGCATGCGTGTGAACCTGTTCTTACAGACTCATCCTGATGAAGCTGCAGAGATTTCACTCACGTGAGCGATGGAAGCAAAATAATAAATCTTCATCTGCACCAACTTCTTCCAGTCCTTCTGGATCTTCCCCAGCAGAGAGGCCGTTTCTGAGTTCTCCAGAGCCCGGCAGGCCTCCTTGTAGTAGTCCACGACCTGTCCGGAGACAAACACTGTGAATGTCAGGGAGGGGGGCCTGTCTAACCCGTTCACATCCAATGAACTTCCAAGGTCAGAGCGACAACTATGACAGGCAACACAATGGCAAGAGAATAGACGAATCACCCCCGACAGACCAAGTGAGAGGCCCATTAACCCCTCGCCTACCGGGCACTGTGACCCCCTCCCTGCCCAGGGCCAATTTTCAGCTTTCAGAGTTGTCGCACTTTGAATGACAATTGCGCGGTCATGCAACATTGTACCCATATGACATTGTTATTTTTTTTCACATAAATAGAGCTTTCTTTTGGTGGTATTTACTCGCCGCTGGGGGGTTTATTTTTTGAACTATAAACAAAAAAAAGCAAAAAATTTAGAAAAAAAAAAAAAGTTTTTCTTTGTTTCTATTATAAAATTTTGCAAACAGGTAATTTTTCTCCTTCACTGATGTGCGTTGATGAGGCTGCACTGATAGGCAGCACTGATGGGCGGCACTGCTGGGTGGCACTGACTGGGCACAGGTGGTGGCACTACTAGGCACTGCTAGGCACTGACTGGGCACAGGTGGTGGCACTACTAGGCGACACTGCTAGGCACTGATGGGCACAGGTGGTTGGCACTACTAGGCACAGGTGGTTGGCACTACTAGGCACTAATGGGCACAGGTGGGTGGCACTACTAGGCACTGATGGGCGACACTACTAGGCACTGATGGGCAAAGGTGGTTGGCACTACTAGGCACTGATAGGCGACACTACTAGGCACAGGTGATTGGCACTACTAGGCACTGATGGGCGACACTACTAGGCACTGATGGGCACAGGTGGTTGGCACTACTAGGCACTGATGGGCGACACTACTAGGCACAGGTGGTTGGCACTGATGGGCGACACTACTAGGCACAGGTGGTTGGCACTGATGGGCGACACTACTAGGCACAGGTGGTTGGCACTGATGGGCGACACTACTAGGCACAGGTGGTTGGCACTGATGGGCGACACTACTAGGCACAGGTGGTTGGCACTGATGGGCGACACTACTAGGCACTGATGGGCACAGGTAGTTGGCACTACTAGGCACAGGTGGTTGGCACTACTAGGCACTGATGGGCAAAGGTGGTTGGCACTACTAGGCACTGATGGGCAAAGGTGGTTGGCACTACTAGGCACTGATAGGCGACACTACTAGGCACAGGTGGGGTGGCACTACTAGGCACAGGTGGGTGGGCACTACTAGGCACAGGTGGGTGGCACTACTAGGCACTGATGGGCACAGGTGGGTGGCACTGCTAGGCACTGATGGGTGGCACTGCTAGGCACTGATGGGCACAGGTGGGTGGCACTACTAGGCACTGATGGGCACAGGTGGGTGGCACTACTAGGCACTGATGGGCACAGGTGGGTGGCACTACTAGGCACTGATGGGCACAGGTGGGTGGCACTACTAGGCACTGATGGGCACAGGTGGGTGGCCATCTATTATAAAATTTTGCAAACAGGTAATTTTTCTCCACTGATGTGCGTTGATGAGGCTGCACTGATAGGTGGCACTGCTGGGCAGTACTGATGGGGGGCATTTGTGGGGGGCACTGCTGGGCACTTGTGGGCGGCACTGCTGGGCATCAATCATCAGTGCCCTGATGATCACTGCCGATCCCCCCCGACAACTGCCGATTCTCGTCAGTACTTTCCTCAAACTCTGACAGGGTGAGGAAAGTGCAGCCAATAACCGGCAACCGCATTTCCGGGTGATCTGCATGTCATTGGACACGGCTGATCACGTGGTAAAAGGCCGCTGTGATTGGCCTTTTGCCACATCGCGGAGATCGCCGGGGGCGCACAGGACGCGTTCTAGGAGGACCTCCTATGACGCCCTCCCAGAACTGGCGGGCCACAGTGAAGCCGTCATTCGGCTAGTGGCTAAAGAGGAACCAAGATCTACAATACTTCCCTCCAGCCTTTCCCAGATCCCGCTCTTCAGTCGTCTGATTATTATTATTATTATACAGGATTTATATAGGGCCACCTTCTGCTTTCGATTGCCAAGGCGATCGCAGCGAAGGTAACCAAAGAATACATTTTGGCCTAAATTTATGAAAATTTTTTTATGGATGTTTTATAGCAAAATGTCAAAAAGGTTTTTCATTTTTTTTTTAATTTATAAAAAAAAATAAAAAATTAAAAAAACTCACCGATGATCAAATACCACCAAAAGAAAGCTCTATTTGTGTGAAAAAAATGTTATAAATTTTCATTTTTGGTACAGTGTTGCATGACCGCGCAATTGTCAGTTAAATCAGGGCAGTGTCGGATAGCAAAAAAAAAAAAAATGGCCTGGGGTAAATATTCCAGAGGGCAAGTGGTTAATCCCAAAGGGAAATGGTTAGGATACAAAATATTCTGAATCTAAAAGTGGGTGTAGACCAGCGCTGTGGTTGGCGAGACGGCTTCCCACTCGGTAATTTGGCCGTCTTGTCCACGTTTGCCAGGTGGGGGGTGGCGAGTGGGAATTTTACCTATAGCTCTGAATGATCTGTGAATTAGCTTACATTTCTGGAAAAAAAAAAAAAAAAAAAAAAAAAAAAAAAAAAAAGACAACAGAACCCACAAAAAAAAAAAAAAGAAAAAAAAAAACCAGAACCCCCCCCCCCCCCACAAAAAACAAATACAAAAACAAAACCCTCCAAAAAAAAAAATGAAAAAAACTACCCAAAAAAAACACAAAAAAACGCAGAAAAAAAAAAAAAAATAAAAAAAAAACCAGAACAAAACAATACAACAAAAAAACCAGAACAAAAAAACCAGAACAAAAAAAAAAAAACCATAAAACAAAAAAAAATAAAAAAATAAAAAACCAGAACAAAAAAATAAAAAAACCAGAACAAAAAAAAATAAAAAACCAAATAAAACAAAAAAAAATAAAAATAAAAAAACCAGAACAAAAAAATAAAAAACCAGAACAAAAAAATAAAAAACCAGAACAAAAAAATAAAAAAAACCAGAACAAAAAACAAAAACAAAAAATAAAAATAAAAAACCAGAACAAAAAAAAAAACCAGAACAAAAAAAATAAATAAAAAACCAGAACAAAAAAAAAAAACCAGAACAAAAAAAATAAATAAAAAACCAGAACAAAAAAAAAAACCAGAACAAAAAAAAAATAAATAAAAAAACCAGAACAAAAAAAAAAAACCAGAACAAAAAAAAAAAATAAAAAACCAGAACAAAAAAAAAAAACCAGAACAAAAAAATAAAAAAGAACCCACAAAAAAAACAGAAAAACAAACAAAAAAAAGACTCGAACATCTCGGAGGATCCTATGCATCAGACTGTACTGTCTGAGCTCACAAGTCTGTCAATGGACGCGGTGTACCTGAACCCACCTGTGCGCTGATCCTCGCCACCAGGAAACTCTTCCGGTTATCCAGCATGGACTTCTCCAGCAGGCACTCCTGAGCCTGACCCTGCGGGGAGAACACAGTGCAGACATAAGGAGCAGATACACGTGGGGGGACTATTCTGCGCCATTATAAAGGTCGGGAGTGACGTGCGTCGCATTAAGGCCCCTTTCACGTCTGAGGTTTACAACCACTAACTCTGCAGTCTCTGCTCATGTAGTGTGATCGCTGCACGGGCAGAGAGAGGGATGTGACGTCAGACCTGGTGGGAATCTTGGCAGTTTTTTTTTTTTTTTTTACATGTAAAGCTGCCGAATTGCCTCTGATGGGCAGAGCCGACTGAACCCTCCGCTGTCCTCTGTTGAGCAGCGGGTGTGTCCGTTTACACTGCCATCTACATCCAATTCGATCTGCTAAAAAAAAAAAAAAAAAAAAAAAAAAAAAAAAAAAAACCAGGACGGATGGGGATCCGTTCTCCAAACAATGGCCTTCCAGCGGTTGAAGAACTACAAGTCCCATCATGCCTCTGGGAGTATTTCCTGTGGCTGTCAGAGTCTTGCAAGGCCTCATGGGACTTGCAGTTCCTCAACACCAGGAGGGCGGCAGTTTGGCGACTCCTGGTCTAGCGGATCGGATGGCAGTCGGATGTCACCGGCGTTCTGTTTACATCAATCCTCCAGTGGAGAGCGGGCAGACAAGGACCAGCCATCCGCCTGCTCGGCGGGGACCAGCGGACAGGTAACCTGCTGAGCAAGTGATCTCCGGGGGCCCCGTCTGGAAGGCACCTAACAGAGAAGATCGACCTGTTTCAGTTTCTGTTTCAGAGTGAAATGTAAAACGGTTGCAATTCTGCACCGAAATAACGGGGGGGGAATTCGGCAGCTTTCCATACAGAAAAACTGCCAAGATTCCCACCAGGTCTGACTTTGCCAGGCAGGATGTGAGCTGTCAGCAGAGCGCTCAGATCCCTCTTTATGCACGTGCAGCAATTGTACTACACGAGTTAAAGTGGTTGTAAACCTCAGACGTGAAATAGGAACAAAACACATCCGCTCTATAGTGTGTACTTGTCTCAGTCCAGAGCACGAAGCGTCATTTCTGTCTGCTGCCTCCTTCACGAGTCACTTCTGATAAGTTTTCCTGACACCAAGAGAAAAATGGTGACGGGGAGGGACGTCCAGCAGATTGACAGCCTCAGCTCTGTTCCTGGAGGAGGGGTGTGTCCCTTCCATCCAATCAGCTCTCACAGCTCTCCTCACTGAGCTCTGCAGTGTGTCATTTCAGCTCTCTGTTCCCTTTTTTCTGAACCCTCAGACAAGCTGTATAAAATTGAGCACTTTGAACAGATGTAGAGAAGAGAAGGCTACAGATAAACAGGTACAACTTTAGTAGGATGTGTTTCATTTCTGTATATCAACTGAAGCCGGTCACCTCACTGGGTATATGGAAGGGTTTACACCCACTTTATCACCCTACTCCTCCCCCCCTACAGTGGGAGGTGGGGACAGCGAGATCGGGGGGCATGCAGCTCCAGCTCTCCTGCACTCTGTCAATTAGGAGGCACTCCGGGAAGATTCGCACAGAGAAGGTTCCTCTTACCAGCATGAGGTTAATATTGAGATTGAGGATCTGATGGCTCATGTCCACGCTGTAGGAATGGGAGAAGTGGTCTCTCAGGTAGGAGAAGGCTCCGGCGGCGCACTGGAAGTGAGTGCAGGAAATCTTCATCCCCTGAAAGAGAAAGGCCACGGTGACTCGCTGAGAACACGGGGACACCAGCACAGCGGATGCATACTCCCATTAAGCCCGTAACAATTATTCAGCTCCCACCTTCCCAAGTCGGTGATTTATGTTAGAGGGTCCTTCCTTGTGTCCAGCTTCATATCTACTGGTCCTAAAATGAGTGTGATGACCCGGGGGGGGGGGGTGCAAACCTCAGGAGAACTCTGAAAGTCACCTCCATTTCTCCTCGATAACCTCCTTCAGAGAAGATCCAAAGGCTTGTTTCCCCACCTATGGGAGAGGAGCCCTTCCTTAACCGCCTCCCGCCCGCCATATAAGGAAACGACGGGGCGCAAGGCGGTTCTCTTGTTCTGGCGTCCTCCCACTCCAACAGCGCGTGCGCTGCTCTGGGAGCGCGCAGCGCGGCGATCTGTGGTGCGCTGTGTCCCTCGGACACAGCGGATCACCGATCAACGGAAAGAGCCGAAGAGGTCGGCTCGGTCATGTGATCAGCTGTGTCCAATCACAGCTGATCACATGTAAATAGGGAAATGCCGGTTATCGGCATTTCTCTCCTCACGAGCTGTCACGCTGACAGGAGAGGAGAGCCGGTAGTCGGCATTCCTCAGAGGGGACATGTACACTGATCATCAGGGCACTGATGATCAATGTAGCCCCAGCAGTGCCACCTGCCAGTGCTCATCAATGCCACATATCAGTGCCCATTTGAGCTGCCTTTCAGTGTCACCTATCAGTGCCAGTCAGTGCCACCTATCACTGCTGCCAGTCAGTGCCGCCCAACAGTGCCAGTCAGTGCCGCCCAACAGTGCCAGTCAGTGCCGCCCAACAGTGCCTGTCAGTGCCGCCCAACAGTGCCTGTCAGTGCCACCCAACAGTGCCTGTCAGTGCCACCCAACAGTGCCTGTCAGTGCCACCCAACAGTGCCTGTCAGTGCCGCCCAACAGTGCCAGTCAGTGCCGCCCAACAGTGCCAGTCAGTGCCGCCCAACAGTGCCAGTCAGTGCCGCCCAACAGTGCCAGTCAGTGCCGCCCAACAGTGCTGCCTATTAGTGTCATATATGAGTGCTGCCTTTCAGTGCCCATCAGTGATGCCTGTCAATGCCCATCAGTGCCACCTACCAGTGCCTCCTCATCAGTGCCCATCACTGCAGCCTCATTAGCGCACATCAGTTAAGGAGAAAAAAAATCACTTATTTACAAAATTAAAACAAAAAACTAAAAGAAAAAAAAACTTTTTTTTTCAAAATTTTCAGTTGTTTTTGGTTTGTTTAGCAAAAAAAAAAAAAAAAAAAAAAATCCCAGAGGTGATTAAATACCACCAAAGGAAAGCTCTATCGGTCTCAAAAAAATGATAAAAATGTCATACGGGTACAGTGTTGCATGACTGCGCAATTGTCATTCAAAGTGCAACAGCGCTGCAAGCTGGAAATTGGCCTGGGCAGGAAGGGGGTGAAAGCGTCAGGTAGGCTAGAGATTAAAAGCTGGGGCATGGAGGAGTTGCTCGTGGTTTTATAGAGGAGGCAACCCCATCGGGTCATAGTGCGCAGGCTCCCAGGGGGAAGAACTATACTCAGTATCCTAAAAGGTCCAATTTTAGTGCCAGCACAAAAATCTACATACATGGGAGTACCACACCGTATATCATCCTAATCCAGAGGGTGTAGACATTACCTGTCAGTACGAGAGGAGTAGGAACTTACCTCCTCTGAGACTCTCTTGTCCATTGCGCCAAGCATGGAGTGTAACGCCCCTACAGGGGGGAAAAAAAAAAAGGCACAACAGTAACTACAGGTACAGTACATATGAACAGTTTGGGGTATCTGGTATTGCTGTGTATGTAAAGGTAATCCATAGAATATTTCCCGTCTTGCGTTACTTGAGACCTTGGGGAAATCGTTCCTTCAGGGGGTTCCCAACGCCTTGATTTATTCATGCGGTTGACTCTTCATGAAGGTCCCACCTCACAACTTACAGGACCTAAAGGATCTGCTACTGACGGCTCGGTGCCAGATACCACAGCCTACCTTCGGTGGTCTAGTGGAGTCCATATCCCAACTTACAGGACCTAAAGGATCTGCTACTGACGGCTCGGTGCCAGATACCACAGCCTACCTTCGGTGGTCTAGTGGAGTCCACATCGCAACTTACAGGACCTAAAGGATCTGCTACTGACGGCTCGGTGCCAGATACCACAGCCTACCTTCGGTGGTCTAGTGGAGTCCACATCGCAACTTACAGGACCTAAAGGATCTGCTAGTGACGGCTCGGTGCCAGATACCACAACCTACCTTCGGTGGTCTACCTTCGGTGGTCTAGTGGAGGGAGTCCACATCGCAACTTACAGCACCTAAAGGATCTGCTAGTGACGGCTCGGTGCCAGATACCACAACCTACCTTCAGTGGTCTAGTGGAGTCCATATCCCGACTTACAGCACCTAAAGGATCTGCTACTAACAGCTAGGTGCCAGATACCACAGCCTACCTTCAGTGGTCTAGTGGAATCCACCTCGCAACTTACAGGACCTAAAGGATCTACTAGTGATGGCTCGGTGCCAGATACCACAACCTAATTCGGTGGTCTAGTGGAGTCGACCTCGCAACTATACAGCACCTAAAGGATCTGCTGACGGCTCAGTGCCAGATACCACAGCCCTACCTTCAGTGGTCTAGTGGAGTCCATATCCCGACTTACAGCACCTAAAGGATCTGCTACTAACAGCTAGGTGCCAGATACCACAGCCTACCTTCAGTGGTCTAGTGGAATCCACCTCGCAACTTACAGGACCTAAAGGATCTACTAGTGATGGCTCGGTGCCAGATACCACAACCTACATTCGGTGGTCTAGTGGAGTCGACCTCGCAACTTACAGCACCTAAAGGATCTGCTGACGGCTCAGTGCCAGATACCACAGCCTACCTTCAGTGGTCTAGTGGAGTCCATATCCCGACTTACAGCACCTAAAGGATCTGCTGCTACTAACAGCTAGGTGCCAGATACCACAGCCTACCTTCAGTGGTCTAGTGGAATCCACCTCGCAACTTACAGGACCTAAAGGATCTACTAGTGATGGCTCGGTGCCAGATACCACAACCTACATTCGGTGGTCTAGTGGAGTCCACATCGCAACTTACAGGACCTAAAGGATCTGCTAGTGACGGCTCGGTGCCAGATACCACAACCTACCCGTCGGTGGTCTAGTGGAGTCCACATCGCAACTTACAGGCTCGACCTAAAGGATCTGCTAGTGACGGCTCGGTGCCAGATACCACAGCCTACCTTCGGTGGTCTAGTGGAGTCCATATCCCAACTTACAGGACCTAAAGGATCTGCTACTAACAGCTAGGTGCCAGATACCACAGCCTACCTTCAGTGGTCTAGTGGAATCCACCTCGCAACTTACAGGACCTAAAGGATCTACTAGTGATGGCTCGGTGCCAGATACCACAACCTACATTCGGTGGTCTAGTGGAGTCGACCTCGCAACTTACAGGACCTAAAGGATCTGCTACTGACGGCTCGGTGCCAGATACCACAGCCTACCTTCGGTGGTCTAGTGGAGTCCACCTCGCAACTTACAGGACCTAAAGGATCTACTAGTGATGGCTCGGTGCCAGATACCACAACCTACATTCGGTGGTCTAGTGGAGTCGACCTCGCAACTTACAGCACCTAAAGGATCTGCTGACGGCTCAGTGCCAGATACCACAGCCTACCTTCAGTGGTCTAGTGGAGTCCATGCCTCAACGGGATATGGTCATTGGCGTGAATAATTTTTTAAAAATACAAGACCATATGGGAAAATGTTGGCTTCCAAATATCCCATGTGGGCACGGAATCATTTGCTGTTCTCCAATAGAATATTCAGTGCCGGTACCTGCAAATCAACCACTGCTCTACCCGCTGGAAGACCCGCCCTTTTCTGACAATTCTTTTGTTGCTTACATATAAACAATTCATTTTTTTTTTGCTATAACATTTCTTAGAACCCCCAAACATTCTATATTTTTTTTTTTTTTTTTTTTTTTTTTTAAAGTAGAGGCCCTAGAGAATAAATTGGTGGGTTTGGCAATTTTTATTGTCACGTGGTATTTGCGTGGTGTTTTTTTCAAACGCAATTAATTTTGGTGACAACGGTAAACCGGACAAATAGAGAGGGAGAATCCCCCTAACGGGGGTGCAGACTGAAATAACAGCTGACGGGGGGGGGGGGCTAATTCCTCTCCACTCTGTCCAAAAAAAAAAATAAAGAAGGAAGTTGCCTTTAGTTATACTTCAAAAGCCTTTACAGGAGACCACTTTAGATTTAGAGGAGGTCTAGTGCTAGAATTACTGCCCGTGATCTGAAGCTTGAGGTGATACATACATGTGTGGGACGATCACGGTTTGCATGCGGGATCGTCACGAGTGAGGGAGGGGCCCTTTTTATTTTTTTTTTCCCGTCACTTGAATTTTTTTTTTTGTTTTTAAATCACTTTTATTGCTGTCAGAAGGAAATGTAAAACATCCCCTGTGACAGCAATAGGCCTGTGACAGGTACTCTTTATGAAAGGATCCGCCAAATCTCTCCTCTGCCTTCAAAGTGTTACTAAACCCAGGACCCTGCATTCACTATATCTGCCCCCCCCCCCCCCCCCCCGTACACAGAACATGAAAATGCAATTATTTTAGTAAATATAAACTGCTAAATACCTTTTCTGTTTAGCAGTGTATAGCAGTCTTGTTACCTCTATCAGTGTCCGGCTGAGCACTGGTTAATCTTTTAGAATCAGTTTTCATTCTGCTCTGACTGTCCTATGAGGCTGCATAACCCCCGACACTCAGTCTGGACAGTTCCGATTGGCCCTGTGCTGATCACATGCACCCTCCCAAAGAAAATAAAATCTCTATAGCAATACACACTTAATGGAGCATGTGCAGAGTGACTCCTAGAGCTCTGTCCTATCAGTAGATGGATTGGGGACAGTAGAAAATGGGGAGGGTAGAAGACATCCCCTCTCGCTGCTTGTAATAGCAAATTGGGTGGCTAGTTAGCTGCTCTGATTGATATTACAAGAGAGCCAACCGTCGGCTCTAAAAAGTGGTACTAGGATGATGCCTGAGGCTGCAGGCATCATCCTGGTATAATACTCTAAACTCCAGTGACTTAGGGGTATGTGCCCCTGTGTACAAAAGCCAGCTGCATAAAGACATGGTTTGACCAGCTTGGTGTGGGGGAACCAGAGTGTCCTGCACAGAGTCCTGACCTCAACCCCACTGAACACCTTTGGGAAGAACTAGAATGACCAAGGTCTTCTCAACCAACATCTCATGAAGACATGGTTTGAGCAGCTTGGTGTGGAAGAACTTGAGTGTCCTGCACAAAGCCCTGATCTGAATACCTTTGGGATGAACTAGAATGAACAAGATCTTCTCAACCACCATCTCCACAAAAGACATGGTTTGACCAGCTTTGTGTGGAGGAAAAAGAGTGTCCTGCACAGAGCCCTGATCTCAACCCTACTTGACAACTTTGGAATGAACTAGAATGACCAATGGTCTTCTCAACCAACATCTCCAAAGACATGGTTTGACCAGCTTGTTGTGGAGGAACGAGAGTGTCCTGCACATAGCCCTGATCTCAGCCCTGCTGAACACCTTTGAGATGAACTAGAATGAACAAGGTCTTCTCAACCAACATCTCCAAAGACATGGTTTTGACCAGCTTGTTGTGGAGGAACGAGAGTGTCCTGCACATAGCCCTGATCTCAGCCCTGCTGAACACCTTTGAGATGAACTAGAATGAACAAGGTCTTCTCAAACAACATCTCCATAACGACATGGTTTGACCAGCTTGGTGTGGAAGAACGAGAGTGTCCTGCACAGAGCCCTGATCTCAGCCCTGCTGAACACCTTTGAGATGAACTAGAATGACCAAGGTCTTCTCAAACAACATCTCCATAACGACATGGTTTGACCAGCTTGGTGTGGAAGAACAAGAGTGTCCTGCACAGAGCCCTGACCTCAACCCTACTGAATACCTTTGGGGTGACACGGTTTTTGGGAAGGATATATTAGGACCATGGGCCATAATGTCGATGGTCAGGTGCCCATATAATGGACCTCTATTCAGCGTCTGGAAGATTACTACACCACTGACTGCTATAAATGTGAGATGGCGATAGGAAGATCTGACTGTCGGGATTTTTCTGCAACGCCCCTTCATAGACCGGCACTCACCCAGGTTGTAGAGGACGCAGGCCTGCTCATACTTGATGTCGGCGTGAGTCACCGACTTCCCAGAGAAGATTTCTGTCCTGAGGGGAGAAGATGACAGTCATGGGGTGGGGGATGCTGGAGACACAGAAGCGTTACAGACACAACAGAATTCTCCTTTTCTGTGTTGTGGACTTTACATTTGTAGATCTGGACTCCGGGGCAGGTGAACCCCCCTGAATGCATGTCGGTATTTATTAAAATATGAAAGTATACTGCACATACAACCATACCTTTCTTCTTTTAGCAGCGGCGTCCCAAGGTTGGTGTCACCCGGTGCGGTAACACACGTGGTGTCACCCCTCCAGAGAGGAAGGAACGGTGCCGGTGTGGCGGTAAAAACGAGTATCCCTTGAAGGTATGTATCCCCTGAAGCCAACTGTGCCGGCTTCAGGGCCAAAGAAGCCGATCACCGACTTTACCACAGAGCCGGCGATCGGCTTCTTCGGCCTGAAACCGCACGTGCACAGTTGGCTTCAGGGGATACTAATTTTACTACTACCCCGGGGCGGGGGCAGCGGTCACTGCACCGGCATCCTGCTCCTGCACCCCCTGTGATGGTGTCACCCGGTTGCTGCATGGTGACACAATCCTTCAGGAAACTGCTTCAGATTCCTGCCAGGTACAACCATGACGTTTGTCAGCAGACCGCTCAAATCCCTGTCTATACCCGTGCAGTGATTAAACTACACGAGCAGAGACTGCAACAAGTTAACCCCACCCTCCCTGCACTGAGTGGGGGGGGGGGGGGTAGCTGCGAGGTTGTAGCATGCAGCTCCAGCTCTCCTGTTCTGTGTGCTGGGTCTACTGGCCGCTTCTACTCAAAAAGAAGGCCCCTCTTTTAAATTAGGAGGAGGGCAGAGACAAGACCAGTCACCCTGCCCAAGGAGAAAGAGCAGAGCTGTGGGAGGGGCCCAGCAGGCTCCACCCACTACAGCCTGTCTGCAGAAATCTACAGGAGGGGGCAGACAATACCACTCACCCTTCACAAGGAGAAACAGCAGAGCTGTGGGAGGGGCCTAGAAGGCTCCATCCACTATAGGCTGACTTAGGAGGGGGGGCGGAGACAAGACCAGTCACCCTGCTCAAGGAAAGGGAACAGAGCTGTGGGAGGGGCCAAGCAGGCTCCACCCACTATAGGCTGTCTGTAGAAATCTACAGGAGGGGCCAGACAATACCAGTCACCCTGCAAAAGGAGAAACAACAGAGCTGTGAGAGGGACCCAGGAGGCTCCACCCACTATAGGCCATCTCAGGAGGGGGGGGGGGGGGGGGCGCAGACAAGACCAGTCACCCTGCACAAGGAGAAAGAGCAGAGCTGTGGAAGAGGCCGAGCAGGCTCTGCCCCCTTCTGTAAATTTCTGCAGGCAGCCTGTACTGGGTGGAGGTTGCTGGGCCCCTCCCACAGCTCTGCTCTCTCCTTGTGCAGGGCAACTGGTCTTGTCTCCGCCCCCTCCTGTAGTTTTCCATACTGGGTGGAGGTTGCTGGGCCCCTCCCGCAGCTCTGCTCTCTCCTTGTGCATGGCGACTGGTCTTGACTCCGCCCCCTCCTGTAGTTTTCCATACTGGGTGGAGGTTGCTGGGCCCCTCCCACAGCTCTGCTCTCTCCTTGTGCAGGGCGACTGGTCTTGTCTCCGCCCCCTCCTGTAGTTTTCCATACTGGGTGGAGGTTGCTGGGCCCCTCCCACAGCTCTGCTCTCTCCTTGTGCAGGGCGCCTGGTCTGGTCTCCGCCCCCTCCTGTAGTTCCATACTGGGTGGAGGTTTCACCCGAAGCATTTTTTGGAAAGGGTCAGGGACTTTAACGCGTTTTTGTTTCTATAGACTCCAATGGAAAATCATGTGTTTTTTTTTCCGCTTTTTGATGCGTTTTAAATCTGCCTAACAACAAAAAAAAAAAATGAAAACTAAAAAAAAAAAAAAACAAAAACCCAAAAATCGCATCAAAAACACAGAAAAAGCTCAAACGCAACCTGCATAGGTGTGAACCTCGCCTAAAGCAAGGGATCCAGAGGAGCGCGGTACATTTGGTTGAAGTCACCTCTCACCATGTAATAGGGACGGCTGCCTCCTGCTCCACCCCCATCGGGATGCGGCTCTGGAGGTAATGGAGCTGGCCAAAGTACTTCCGCAGCACGCTGCATCCTTCGAAGTCTCTGGGAACGTTCACCGCGCTCTGCAGAGACAAGAGAAGACCGTGAGTACCGAGAGGAAGGAAGGGAGGAGAGGAAGGAAGGGAGGAAAGGAAAGGAAGGGAGGAAAGGAAAGGAAGGGAGGAAAGGAAAGGAAGGGAGGAAAGGAAAGGAAGGAGGAAAGGAAAGGAAGGGAGGAAAGGAAAGGAAGGGAGGAAAGGGAGGAAAGGAAGGAAGGGAGGAAAGGAAGGGGAGGAAAGGAAGGGAGGAAAGGAAGGGAGGAAAGGAAGGGAAAGGAAAGGAAAGGGAGGAAAGGAAAGGGAGGAAAGGAAAGGAAAGGAAAGGAAGGGAGGAAAGGAAAGGAAAGGAAGGGAGGAAAGGAAAGGAAGGGAGGAAAGGAAGGAAGGGAGGAAAGGAAGGAAGGGAGGAAAGGAAGGAAGGGAGGAAAGGAAAGGAAGGGAGGAAAGGAAAGGAAAGGAGGAAAGGAAAAGGAAAGGAGGAAAGGAAAGGAAAGGAGGAAAGGAAAGGAAAGGAGGAAAGGAAAGGAAAGGAGGAAAGGAAAGGAAAGGAAGGGAGGAAAGGAAAGGAAGGAAGGGAGGAAAGGAAAGGAAGGGAGGAAAGGAAGGAAGGGAGGAAAGGAAGGAAGGGAAAGGAAGGGAAAGGAGGAGGAAAGGAAGGAAGGGAAAGGAAAGGAGGAGGAAAGGAAGGAAGGGAAAGGAAAGGAGGAGGAAAGGAAGGAAGGAAAAGGAAAGGAGGAGGAAAGGAAGGAAGGGAAAGGAAAGGAGGAGGAAAGGAAGGAAGGGAAAGGAAAGGAGGAGGAAAGGAAGGAAGGGAAAGGAAAGGAGGAGGAAAGGAAGGAAGGGAAAGGAAAGGAGGAGGAAAGGAAGGAAGGGAAAGGAAAGGAAAAAGGGAAAGGAAAGGAAAGGAGGAGGAAAGGAAGGAAGGGAAAGGAGGAGGAAAGGAAGGAAGGGAAAGGAGGAGGAAAGGAAGGAAGGGAAAGGAAAGGAGGAGGAAAGGAAGGGAAAGGAAAGGAGGAGGAAAGGAAGGAGGAAGGGAAGGAAGGGAAGGGAAGGAAGGAAGGGAAGGAAAGGAAGGAAGGAAGGGAAGGAAGGAAGGGAAGGAAGGAAGGGAAGGAAGGAAGGGAAGGGAAGGGAAGGAATTCCTTCCTTCCCTGGGAAGGAAGGAAGGAAGGAAGGAAGGGAAGGAAGGAGGAAGGGAAGGAAGGAAGGGAAGGGAAGGAAAGGAAGGGAAGGAAGTTCCATCCCCCCAAACTTGGATGTTAATGCAAATTAAAGTCTCAATAGCTCCTGTAAGACCTCGGTGGCGCTGGGTGTGCCTTGCATGCCGAGTCGCACCCTATTGTCTGCAATCACAGCGGTCATATCGGTGCGGTTCTGACTTGGTCGAAGCCACACAGATTTATAAAGTAATACGTGCGCTACTTCAGGTGCAACTTGCATAGAAGTCTTGAAAATCGCACCTGAAATCGACATTTTCCCTGACTTTGAAATTGCACAACTTCACTGAAAAAAAAAACGCCCCCCCCCCCCCCCCCCCCAATTGGCCTCCCCGGGCAGACGTGGCGGCCCCACTTGGCCTCCCCGGGCAGACGTGGCGGCCCCCACTTGGCCTCCCCGGGCAGACGTGGCGGCCCCACTTGGCCTCCCCCGGGCAGACGTGGCGGCCCCACTTGGCCTCCCCCGGGCAGACGTGGCGGCCCCACTTGGCCTCCCCGGGCAGACGTGGCGGCCCCACTTGGCCTCCCCGGGCAGACGTGGCGGCCCCACTTGGCCTCCCCGGGCAGACTTGGCCTCCCCGGGCAAAAAAACACGCCCCGCTCACCCCCCGGGCAAAAAACACGCCCCGCTCACCCCCGGGCAAAAAACAACGCCCCGCTCACACCCCCGGGCAAAAATGGAGTCCTTGATAGACAGGTGGTTAGGACAGCACCTCCTCTGTGATTGGCTGTGGTGGAGGAAGAAGCAGGTGGGCGCACACAGAAGGGAAGTTCCGGCACTGGAACAGGCGACACTCTTCTTCTCATTGTACTTCTATACAGACAGAAGGAACTAAACCACAGCTTGGCAGCCATGGCAACGGTACACTGGAACATATCCCCCCCCCCTTCGTATAATCCGAGATCAAACTCCATGCAGTAGAGAGGAGGACACAGGCCGCCCTGAGCAGGCCCATCCCAGCTGGGTTTATGGTTTCCTGGCTGTAAAAGCCGCGAGTTCTGCAAATCAAACAATCTTTATGTGGAAGTTTCTTGCTGGAAACACGGACACACCAGGAAATGGGGGGGATTGAGGGGGGTGCTGAGAGGGGGGCGGGGTCTATTTAAAAACAAGCAAACAAAATACATTTTGCAACAATGTTTCAGCATTTGCACAAAAGTCACAAATCATGTCTGATGTTTGTAATCCGTGGGAAATGTCAGCTTTCGCAGGACGAACGTAACATTCCCCGACGTTCGATCCTCACAGAAGGCGGCCTGAAGAACATTCGTCCAGAAGAGTTACAAACCCAAAAATGTCACATCGCAGCTTTCTACCGGGGCACCGCAACGGTTTGTGAAAACCGTATTTTTTATAGATTTAAATTGTATGATATTCAACTTTTTAATTAATATCAATTTGAATGAATAGGAATTTAAAAAAAATACAATCCAGTAACGTAAAAATAACTTTTTTAGAGAAAATATTGGACAGCAAATCAAATGAAATATAGATAAAAAAATCAATGGGACACAATTTTGTTTGCATGGAAGTCAATGGGACACAATTTTGTTTGCATGGAAGTCAATGGGACACAATTTTGTGTGCATGGAAGTCAATGGGACACAATTTTGTGTGCATGGAAGTCAATGGGACCCATTTGTGCATGGAAGTCAATGGGACACATTTGTGCATGGAAGTCAATGGGACACATTTGTGCATGGAAGTCAATGGGACACATTTTTTCTTTTGCATGGAAGTAAATGGGGCGCATTTTATTTTGTGCATGGAAATCAATGGGACGCATTTTTTGTTTTGCATGCAAGTTCATGAGACGTGTTTTTTTTGCATGGAAGTCAATGGTATGCATTTTTTTTCTGTTTGCATGGAAGTTATGGGACGCATTTTTTTCTTTTGCATGGAAGTCTGGCCTCCAGGCACAAGAGACCCGCCTCCCGTCGACTCCGAGGCACAAAAGACCCGCCTCCCGTCGACTCCGAGGCACAAAAGACCCGCCTCCCGTCGACTCCGAGGCACAAAAGACCCGCCTCCCGTCGACCTCCAGGAAAAAGACACCTCCAATCGACCTCCGAGGCACAAAAAAGCCTCCCATAGACTTGAAGGCAAAAACTCGATCACCTGCGAGTCTGGACCACCGCTACAAACTTGCACAGGACCCTTTTTTCTTGTAACGACACCCAAAACGCAACGCGTGTGGATGGAATCTGTGTGAACCGCCTCAATATCAACATATAATCTCCATACCTGTCATGCAAACATGTGAGTTTGAAGACGCATCCAGAAGCGCATGCGTGTGAATCAGGGCGGTTCCATTCCCACCTGGGCGGCTTGGGATCGCGGCAGAACAGCCGAGATTCTGCCCGTGACTGAAAAAAGCAGGTTCAGGTGTCATTTTCAAACAGCCCCTAAATGCGGCGCGGTTTTGCCGCGATTGTCACGTGACAAATCACATCGCGTGAAGCTGGTCGCCCGAAAGAAACTTCAGCTCCTTTTTGGGCGACAAGCTTCACGCGATGTGATTCGCTGAGATTGTTGCACAATCGTGGAAAAACCACTCCGCGTTTTTGGCGTTGTTGAAAACAACAAGACCCGTCCCCACGTCTAGCTCGTAATTTCATTGGACGTGGTGAGGTTCAGTAGCCAATGAGGAGGCCGGATGTGGAGAGGCCACACAGGAAACAGAATTACTTTGCCCAATACAATCCACCCGAGTCCACAGCAAGAACTGAGATGCAGAAAGGTTACAATACCCACCAGACGCCTCCCTAGAGGGGGGACACCACCACCACCCTACAGGGGGGCCACCGCCACCCTACAGGGGGGCCACCGCCGCCACCCTACAGGGGGGCCACCGCCGCCACCCTACAGGGGGGCCACCGCCGCCACCCTACAGGGGGGCCACCACCACCGTACAGGGGGGACACCGCCGCCACCCTACAGGGGGGACACCGCCGCCACCCTACAGGGGGGACACCGCCTCCACCCTACAGGGGGGACACCGCCTCCACCCTACAGGGGGGACACCGCCTCCACCCTACAGGGGGGACACCGCCTCCACCCTACAGGGGGGACACCGCCTCCACCCTACAGGGGGACACCGCCTCCACCCTACAGGGGGGACACCGCCTCCACCCTACAGGGGGGACACCGCCTCCACCCTACAGGGGGGACACCGCCGCCACCCTACAGGGGGGACACCGCCACCGTACAAGGGGGACACCGCCACCGTACAAGGGGACACCGCCACCGTACAAGGGGGACACCGCCACCGTACAAGGGGGACACCGCCGCCACCCTACAGGGGGGACACCACCTCCACCCTAAAAGGGGGCCGCCGCCACCACCACCACGCTACAGGGGGGCCAACGCCCTACAGGGGGTACACCACCACCCCCTACAAGGGGGCCGCCGCCACCACCCTACAAGGGGGCCGCCGCCACCCTACAGGAGGGCCACACCACCCTACTGGGGGGACACCACCGCCGCCAACCTAAAGGGGAGCCGCCGCCATCTCAGTTACCCTACAGGGGGCCACCAGAGAACACCGCCACCCTACAGGGGGCCACCAGAGAACACCGCCACCCTACAGGGGGCCACCAGAGAACACCGCCACCCTACAGGGGGCCACCAGAGAACACCTCCACCACAGAAGGGACAACCAAAGACAATCACCAACTTACAGGGGACAACCAGAGACCACCAACCTAAAGTGGGTTGTCAGAGACTGCTGGAAGACAGTCATAACTCTACAGAGGGGCCACCTGACAGCGCCAACACCCTACAGGGGGCCAAGAGAGGCAGTATCTACCCTTCAGAGAACTCCCAGAGACCATCATCATCCTACAGGGGCCCGCCAGAAAGTGTTACTATCCTTCAAGTGGCTACCAGAGGCTACCACCACCAGCCTACAGGGGGCCGCCAAAGACTGGCAATACCCTACAGGGGGGCCACTGGAGATCACCACCACCCTATTGGAAGCCCCCAAAGACCAGCAATACCTACAGGGTGTCACCACTTTCCATATTACTGAGGACCTGTCCTGGGTGCTGATTATCCGGCTGACCCCCCACAACACAGATCCCCCGGAGGGGCTCCCCCCGGATCAGCAGTGTCCAGTATCTGATATGGAGGGGGGGGGGGGACTCTGATATGGAGGGGGGGGGGGGGACTCTGATATGGAGGGGGGGGGGGGGGGACTCTGATATGGAGGGGGGGGGGGGGGACTCTGATATGGAGGGGGGGGGGGGGACTCTGATATGGAGGGGGGGGGGGGGGACTCTGATATGGAGGGGGGGGGGGGGGGACTCTGATATGGAGGGGGGGGGGGGACTCTGATATGGAGGGGGGGGGGGACTCTGATATGGAGGGGGGGGGGGGGACTCTGATATGGAGGGGGGGGGGGGGGGACTCTGATATGGAGGGGGGGGGGGGGACTCTGATATGGAGGGGGGGGGGGGGACTCTGATATGGAGGGGGGGGGGGGGCGGGACTCTGATATGGAGGGGGGGGGGGGGACTCTGATATGGAGGGGGGGGGGGGACTCTGATATGGAGGGGGGGGGGGGGACTCTGATATGGAGGGGGGGGGGGGGGGACTCTGATATGGAGGGGGGGGGGACTGTACCTGTCTGAGCTGCTCCAACTTCTTCAGCTCCTCGCTGTAGGTGTCGGGGTTCTCCCATAGTTCTTCAGGACAAACTGAGGAGAAAGAGAAGATGATCAGCCACAGACGCCCAGCGGACCCAACCCCCACAGACGCTACAGACGCCCAGCGGACCCTACAGACGCCCAGCGGACCCAACCCCCGCAGACCCTACAGACGCCCAGCGGACCCAACCCCCGCAGACGCTACAGACGCCCAGCGGACCCAACCCCCGCAGACCCTACAGACGCCCAGCGGACCCAACCCCCGCAGACGCTACAGACGCCCAGCGGACCCAACCCCCGCAGACGCTACAGACGCCCAGCGGACCCAACCCCCGCAGACGCTACAGACGCCCAGCGGACCCAACCCCCGCAGACCCTACAGACGCCCAGCGGACCCAACCCCCGCAGACGCTACAGACGCCCAGCGGACCCAACCCCCGCAGACGGCCAACACCCGCAGACGGCCAACAGACCCATCACCCGCAGACGCTCCACAGACCCAACACCCGCAGACGCCCCGCAGACCCAACCCCCCGCAGACGCCCAACAGACCCAACCCCCCGCAGACGCCCCGCAGACCCAACCCCCCGCAGACACCCAACAGACCCATCACCCGCAGACGCTCCACAGACCCAACAACCGCAGAAGCCCCACAGACCCAAAACCCGCAGACGCCCCGCAGACCCAACCCCCCGCAGACGCCCAACAGATCCAACCTCCCGCAGACGCCCAACAGACCCATCACCCGCAGACGCCCAAAAGACCCATCACCCGCAGACGCCCAAAAGACCCATCACCCGCAGACGCCCAAAAGACCCATCACCCGCAGACGCCCAAAAGACCCATCACCCGCAGACGCCAAACAGACCCATCACCCGCAGACGCCAAACAGACCCATCACCCGCCCAACACCCGCAGACGCCCAACACCCGCAGACGCCCAACACCCGCAGACGCCCAACACCCGCAGACGCCCAACAGACCCATCACCCGCAGAGACCCAACGCCCGCAGACGACCCACAGACCCATCACCCCCAGACGCCCCCAACAGACCCATCACCCGCAGACGCCCAACAGACCCATCACCCGCAGACGCCCATCACCCAACAGACCCATCACCCGCAGACGCCCCACCACCCGCAGAGACTTAACGCCCGCAGACACCCCACAGACCCATCACCCCCAGACGCCCAACAGACCCATCACCCGCAGACGCCCAACACCCGCAGACGCCCAACAGACCCAACACCCGCAGACGCCCAACAGACCCAACACCCGCAGACGCCCAACAGACCCATCACCCGCAGACGCCCAACAGACCCATCACCCGCAGACGCCCAACAGACCCATCACCCAACAGACCCAACACCCGCAGACGCCCAACAGACCCATCACCCGCAGAAGCCCCGCAGTGCCAACAGTCATAGACGCCCCAGAGACCCAACACCCGCAGTGCCAACAGTCATAGACGCCCCATAGTGCCCTGACCCCTCCCACAGACTGATATCCTGTCACAGTCAGGCCCCTCCCTTCACCTGGCGGACCGGGCTCTGGAAGGGGAACTCTCCGGCCTCCTTCAGGTCCAGCCAGATCATCGGCATCCGCGGCACGGCCTCCATTCTGCCCGCTGCGTCAGCTGACCTCCCGGAAGAAGCGAGGAATGCTGGGAATTCTGAGCCCTCCACCGCCCCGCCTCCTAGCGCTGTGTAGCCCCTCCTTTGTTTCCGCCCATCCTACAGTGCAGTAAAATACCTTTCATGCTCCGCCCTCTATTTTTACACAGGACACACCCCCTCCTCGTCCGGCCTGGGCAGGGGGCGGGGCACCTGTTCTCTGAGGAGGAGGAGGAGCCTGCCCTCAATAATGGGCGGATCACCTCAACCACGCCCGCTGTGCTGAAATTACCTCATGCTGTCAGCTGACACCTGAGATACTACAAGTCCCGGCATTCCTGGCAGGTGGGCTGGCACTGGGCGGTCAGCTGATCGTGACTGTGCTAACCCAATCTCCATGGTAACCCTGAGTCAGTGCTTGAGGCCTGTGAAGAGGGAGGTGTTGCCATGGTGATTTCCACAGGAGTCCCACAGACCCCCATCTACTGAAGAATGAAGAGTGAGTTGTCACCAGGACAGGAAGTGACGTAAATCCCAGCATGGTCAGTGGTCACCGTCACAGGAAGTGACATAAATCCCAGAATGGTCAGTTGTCATCAGGGCAGGAAGTGATGTAAATCCCAGAATGGTCATTTGTCACCAGGACAGGAAGTGAAGTAAATCTCAGAATGGTCAGTTGTCACCGGCACAGGAAGTGACGTAATTCCAGAATGGTCAGTTGTCACCGAGACAGGAAGTGATGTAAATGCCAGAATGGTGAGTTGTCACTGGCACAGGAAGTGATGTAATCACAGAATGATCAGTTGTCACCAGCACAGGAGGTGAGGGAGAAATCTCCCATTGGGGACACCCGTTCCCCCCTTACGTCCCAAAAATTTAATTTCCTGTTATGCCACCAGGACAGGAAGTGATGTAAATTCCAGACTGGTCAGGTGTCACCAGGACAGGAAGTAAGGGGAAATATATTGGGGACACCAGTTCTGGTGACAATGAAGAAGAGATTTCCCCCTCACTTTAGAAAAATTTCTCCCACTTCCTGTTATGTCTGTTTTACAGGAAGTGATGTGATGGGAAACTGGTGAGTTGTCACCAAAACAGGAAGTGATGTGAAATCTCCTCCATCGGGACAGTGGCAGGATCAGAAACACCTCAGTCTTCTACTCCACCAACCAGTGATTGGGGGTCAGTGTACTGCCTGATCATGTGACCACCAGGAAGGTGGAGGGTGGCTCCTCCAGCCAGCAGATGGCGCTGTGCTCCCGTCTGTTCTGTCATTGTCACCATTACAGTATTAATAGGTGTTAGGGCTCATTCACATGGGGGGGAGGGGCAGATAGGACAGCCAACAACCTACAGGGGCCACCAGAGACCTCCTCACTATAGTGGACAACAAGAGACCAGAACCACCCTACAGGGGGCCACCAAGGACAGTCACCACCCTAGAGGGGGTGTAAGAGACCATCACCACCCTACAGGGGGCCACCAAGGACAGTCACCACCCTACAGGGGGCAACCAGAAACCACCACCACCCTACAGGGGGCCACCAGAGACCACCACCAGCCTACAGGGGGCCACCAAGGACAGTCACCACCCTACAGGGGGCCACCAGAGACCATCACCACCCTACAGGGGGCCACCAAGGACAGTCACCACCCTACAGGGGGCAACCAGAAATCATCACAACCCTACAGGGAGTCATTACAAACCACCACCACCTTACAGGGGGCAACCAGAGATCATCACCACCTTACAGGGGGCAACCAGAAATCATCACAACCCTACAGGGAGTCATTACAAACCACCACCACCTTACAGGGGGCAACCAGAGATCATCACCACCTTACAGGGGGCAACTAGAGACCATCATCACCCTACAGGGGGCAACTAGAGACCATCATCACCCTACAGGGGGCAACCAGAGACCATCACCACCTTACAGGGGGCAACCAGAGATCATCACCACCTTATAGGGGACAACTAGAGACCATCATCACCCTACAGGGGGCAACTAGAGACCATCATCACCCTACAGGGGGCAACTAGAGACCATCATCACCCTAGATGGGGTCATTACAAACCACCAACACCCTACAGGGGGCAACCAGAGACCATCATCACCCTACAGGGGGCAACTAGAGACCATCATCACCCTACAGGGGGCAACCAGAGACCATCACCACCTTACAGGGGGCAACCAGAGATCATCACCACCTTATAGGGGACAACTAGAGACCATCATCACCCTACAGGGGGCAACTAGAGACCATCATCACCCTACAGGGGGCAACTAGAGACCATCATCACCCTACAGGGGGCAACTAGAGACCATCATCACCCTACAGGGGGCCACCAGAGACCATCACCACCCTACAGGGGGCCACCAGAGACCATCATCACCCTACAGGGGGCCACCAGAGACCATCATCACCCTACAGGTGGCAACCAGAGACCATCATCACCCTACAGGGGGCAACCAGAGACCATCATCACCCTACAGGGGGCAACCAGAGACCATCACCCTACAGGTGGCAACCAGAGACCATCATCACCCTACAGGGGGCCACCAGAGACCATCATCACCCTACAGGGGGCAACCAGAGACCATCATCACCCTACAGGGGGCCACCAGAGACCATCATCACCCTACAGGGGGCAACCAGAGACCATCACCCTACAGGTGGCAACCAGAGACCATCATCACCCTACAGGGGGCAACCAGAGACCATCATCACCCTACAGGGGGCCACCAGAGACCATCATCACCCTACAGGGGGCAACCAGAGACCATCACCCTACAGGTGGCAACCAGAGACCATCATCACCCTACAGGGGGCCACCAGAGACCATCATCACCCTACAGGGGGCCACCAGAGACCATCATCACCCTACAGGGGGCCACCAGAGACCACCACCATCCTACAGGGTGCGCTAGAGACAGGCACTACCCTACAACCCTATTTTGTCTTTTTTTATTCTATTCTTTTCTGTTCTATTCTTTTATTTTCTATTTGATTTTTTTTATATCCTTTTCTACTCATTTATATGCTATTCTTTTCCATTCTATTCTACTCTATTATTTTACTTTCTATTCTTTTCTTTTCTAGTCTCTTCTACTCGATTCTTTCCTATTTTTTTTTCTTTTTTGTTCTATTCTGTTCTTTTCTATTCTTTTCTCATCTATTCTACTCTATTCTTTTATTTTTTATTCTGTTCTACTTTTCTGTTTTTTATTTTATTCTTTTCCATTCTGTTCTATTCTATTATTTTCTATTCTGATCTATTGTTTTCCTTTCTATTCTACTCTATTATTTTCTATTCTATTTTTCTTTTTTTTATTCTATTCTTTTCTATTCTATTCTTTTCTCGTCTGTTCTACTCTATTCTTTTATTTGATATTCTGTTCTATTTTTCTGTTTTTTTTTAATGTTATTCTTTTCTATTCTGTTCTATATTTTCTGTTCTGTTCTATTCTTTTTCTTTTCTATTCTATTATTTCATTTTCTATTGTATTATTTTCTAGTCTAATCTACTCTATTATTTTATTTTTTTTATTCTATTCTTTTATACTCTATTCTATTCTTTTCTCATCAATTCTACTCTATTCTTTTTGTTTTTATTATGTTCTCTTTTTCTGTTTTTTTTAATTTAATCTCTTCTATTCTCTTCTATTCTGTTATTTTATTTTCTGGTCTATTCTATTTTTTTCTTCTTTTCTATTCTTTTATTTTCTATTGAATTCTTTTTTAGTCTATTCTACTCTATTATTTTATTTTCTATTCTATTTTTTTTTTAAATTATATTCTTTTGTATTCTATTATTTTCTTGTCTATTGTACTCTATTCTTTTATTTGTAATTCTGTTCTATTTTTCTGTTTTTTTATTTTTATTCTTTTCTATTCTGTTCTGTTCTATTTTATTATTTTCTGTTCTATTCTTTTTTTTATTTTCTATTCCGTTCTATTCTATTTTTTTATTTTCTATTCTATTTTTCTTTTTTTGGAAATTATATTCTTTTGTATTCTATTCTTTTCTTGTCTATTCTACTCTATTTTTTATTTGTTATTCTGTTCTATTTTTCTGTTTATTTATTTTATTCTGTTCTATTCTATTATTTTCTATTCTATTCTTTTTTCATTTCTATTGTATTCTTTTCTAGTCTATTCAACTCTATTATTTTATTTTCTATTCTATTTTTTCTTTTTTATTCTATTCTATTCAGCAGCCTAAGTAGGAATCATCATCTTATTTCACTTTTACACCTTGCTGCAATATGTTTCCAATTCGAATTCGGATATCTCTCTTTGTTGGAATCCACTTTGGATCGGCTGCAGCAATCACTTGCGGAAGTTGCGGCTGCTCCTGCGATGATGCGATCCCACCCGCAGTGACCGGCATTTGATTGGATATCAGAATTGGCCACTAGAGGGAGACCGTTGAATGGAGGGGGGAGGAGTCTGTTTATTGCAAATGGAAACATTGTACCAAATCTTTAGAATCACGGCTGTGATAGGAGTGTTCAGGACAGGCTGGGAAAACATGGAAGAACATTCTAAGGCCTTGTTTACCCTTGGCGTTGGGGGATGGTGTTAAAAATGTGTCTTTGAGCCGCATTTTTACCTCCCCCCAATCCCCCTTTCCTTAAAGCTATACTAAAGTCTCCAATTCAAAAAACTGCGAGCAGGCAGCAATTTATTACCGAAGAGACGGGAAGATTCTTTTCTGCAAGAAAATACACCTACCTGCCTGCTTGCAATTTTTTTTTTTTAAAGGCTTGTTCGAGGGCTGCTGCTCCTCTGAAAAGCAATTCGCTCCCAGATCGCTTTTTTTTTTCTGTTAGAGATGTTTGACAGACGGCAGGTGAGGAGGCGATATACACCTACAGGGGGCAACTAGAGACCATCATCACCCTACAGAGAGTCATTACAAACCTCCACCACCCTACAGGAGGCAACCAGAGACCATCACCACCTTAAAGAGGGCAACTGGAGATCATTACCACCCTA